TTCAGGATCTTATGAAGGCAAAGGCGCGAAAGGTGAGCGTCTGCCGCGGAAGAAAACACTGACTATCACAAGAACTATCCCAATTTGTTTTATCCGTGTATTTTCAAAGAAACAATTCTTCATATTTGAAGTCAATAAATCTCACAATCCAGAAAAACCCTAGTTTTCCCTTTTGCTATCAGATAAAGTTTGAAATGTCTGATTTGATATCCATTAGCAACGCACCATGAATTCAATTCCATTCGTAGCGTCGTAGAAGTGACTGAATGCATATCTAGCCTGTACAGACACCTTTGATGACCCGTTGACATGTCGAGTTAGTGTTCTTATGGCGTCAAATAAGTTCGGTAGCAATTTATACGCGACGAAGGGGTGAAGTGATTAGTTTTGGGAGAAGAATAGAACCACCTAGAGGCACGTCTAGCCTTCACTCTACTTGCCCATTTTACGCTTTGCTATTACTACTAAAAATTTTCTCAACAATAGTACTTTTAGGTTGTTGACTAAAAAATATCGAAGCTTATAATATCACTGAACATCATCTGAGCTCTCTAACAGATATATATATATATATGTATATGTATTTGTATACGTATATGTACATGGATATGTATATGTATATGGGACAGAGGGGTGAAGTGATTCGTATATGTATATGAAGTGTATATGCATATGTACGTGTATATGTATATGTATACGTATACATATGTATATATATATATATATATATATATATATATATATATATATATATATATACCAGTTACTTTAGTGACATCCGGCTGGCTTTTTTATGCCAGTTTCAACCGATGAATTCATTTTCTTGGCGTCAACATCGTTGACCTTGGGCTATTCGTTGTCGTTGTTTGTGAAGTTAACACAGAATGGATTTTGGATTTTAGATTTAAACTTGTCGAACCAACGACGGAAATGGCTCGTTATTGATGAAACTGTAGAACACCAATTATCTTTAAACCACACTTCATTCACGAAAAGCTATCATACACGATTCTGATGACGCGTGCCGAATAGAACACATTTGTGTAAGGACAGTTGAAATGGGAGAAATAAAAAGAGCGTAGGGAGCCTTAAATGATATATAGAAGATTCGAGGACGAAGAATTATCATGACTAAGGAAAAGCAGAACTTGAAGCTTTCATAATGCAAAGTACGAGGTTTTGTTCTGAGCTTCAACTTCATCGGACTTTTTCTTAATTCCTTCTTAAAGAAGTTCCACTAAAAAAATAACTTTGTACGTTGTGTTTTATGACGCTTATGAAGATCGTTGATTTTAATAACGTTTTGAGATCGCGGTATTAACTAAGAACATGAACTGGATAGATTACCAGGAAATAACAGTTGCCTAACTGAAGAAAGTGGACAAGGGAAAGTGCTTGCAGCGCAATAGGTATAGACCTCCAGCAATGCACAAATGGTCACTGTGTCAATCCCGTGTGCTTGGCAGGCCTTTTTTAAAGCTCTCATCTAAGGCAGAACAGCTGTGAAGAAAACATTTCAAATTACTCTTTAAGATTTTGACCAGTAAACGTTGGAATGTTCCATCTGTATCGCATTCCTTATCGGGTGCTGTCTTTTATTAAGGATTTCCTAGAGACAGGAAAAGTGGAGACCTTCAAAGGAAGCGTTGTTCAAAGAAAGAATCCAAAGAGCAGACCGAAGAAATATGAAATTGAAGTAGTGATCCATCTGAGCGTATTTCCTCTAGAGTTGAGAAATTCTAAGAAGAAGTGTATTAAAGCAATTTGATTTGCGAAGTGTAGATTTCACTGGTTTCAATAATTTCGAAACAGACCACCATTTAACCTCGGTATAACCTGCCAAATCTGTAATCTGTGATCCATCTAAGCTCCACCAACCTCGTGAAAGCTCCACAATATAAACACATGATTACTGGTTTCAGCTTGGAATAATATTTTTTCAGTAAGACTCAAATACGTATCACCAATATTTCCGAACACAGAGAGTGCAAAAGACCCAGAAACCACCATTTACGCGTTCACTGACATGTCGGAGTAAAAAATTAGGGACAAACCCTTCGAGAAACTAAGAAAAGTAACAGCAGCATTGATGAAATCGGTGTCGAGATCACATTTAGTAGGGACTTGAGCGGAACGATATTGTTTATGATAGCAAGTATCGAACATTAGCACCTTATCGAAGAAACCATCTGTCGAAAGCCAACAGAAAAGCCGCCTGTAATTTATTGAACTTCAGAACAAGGAAGCAGTAAAGGAAACTGTAATTAGAGATGTTCAGAACACTAATCTTTTCGTATACGACTACCGTAATCGACCACCACTGAGAGCCTGGTGTACGCCCTCCTGGCATTTCCCGAGAGGATACGCTTGGGCGATGTGTTCCCTTATATTCGTTCATTTGCCATCAACAACCGCCATCGTTACGACAAGCTCATCTTTATTCTAGACATTACAAAAATTCCTTATTTTTTCCCAGAATGTTGGTTGGAGAACAATACATGGGGTGTTCGATGTTCATCAATCCCTTGAGATTGCATCATGTGTTCGATTACATTCGGAGCATAGTAGACGTAATTCAAGGCATGTTTGGTCTGAAAGACAACTTGTGGGATCCTAATCGGTGATCAAATGAGTGTCTTTATAATCTGCCATACAAGTCTGGCACCACTTGCTTCCACAAAGATGTGCACTTCTAACCACTGCGCCACATCTGCGAATCCTAGTCAATGCTAGAAATTCGGTGATCCGTCGATTTCATTCCTGATTCTCATGTCCCACGTCTTTCGCAGTTCTTGAGATACTCTAACCATAAAAATACGCTCGAAAGTTACAGTATGTCAGTTTTAAGCAATATTTCTTGACTACCCAATAGTCCTTATTGAATGAATTTGTATTAGAGCTGCATTGATCAACAAGTTACTGCGCTCTTGATAATTTGAAATAAGGTTACATCAACTACATAAGGTTGTTAGAGCAACTTTATTCAGCAAGAGACACCATCTAGGAGGAATTTCTTCTAGGTCCGGCAATCAACAAGTTACTGCGCTCTTGATAACTTGACATAAGATTGTATTAACTACATAAAGTTGTTGGAGTAACTTTATTCAGCGACAGGCAGTATCTAGGAGGATTTTCTATTAGATCCGGGATTGATCAGCAACTTACTGTGCTCTTGATCACCTGAACATAAAGCTGTTAGAATAACATTTATTCATTATGAGCCAATATCTGGAGGAATTTATCGTGTTCAAAGCGGCCACCTCTGCTATCACTGAGACTAGTCGCATAGAGACCGTATGGAATTAGGAATGCCGCGTGTTCATTCTTTTATTGCTTGTCAATTTATTGAAAAAAAATGAATAAAAGAAGCAGGAAGAAAACTCCTTCGAAAGAAGGAATCTCGCGAAACGTTAGCTTTCATGAGAAAAAATTATACTATAGTTTTGCACGGTCGTATTTGAGAACACTGCAACCCGTTCAGTTAATAGTCATTCATCTATCCAACAACAAGTTTGTTTGTTACAGTTATGTCTTAACTTTTAACTGCTCTCTATTCTTTTTTCATGGCAGGGTACCATGTGTAATACGCGCACAATGATGCTGAGATGTAAACAAAATTCGGAACCGCAACTGGGCTTCGAAGCCGCGACTACCCCTTACCGTAAACTCACGTGAGATCCACCAACTCCATTTGAGGTCAATAGTTTTTGTTCCGCTCAACCATGTTCCTACTTCATCGGTCCTATCAGCAATCATCTATGAATGGGAATGAGTGATCGCGGTTTCGAAACGCATCTGAAGTTTATCTCAACACTCTAACGGTTAAATTTCATGGTGCGAAAGCGCAGCTTAGAGGTGCCCTGTGACACACAGGTAGTCTTCGCTTTGATCTCGCTTCTAGGTTAACCAACGCTACTCATCGTCCGCGATGAGAAGTTTAGTATTAGAAGTGTTTGGAAGAACAAAACACTGGCTTGCTTCATCACCGGCATCCGCAGGGCATTTTGTAGAGCAAATATGCAATCAATCATCTCTATGACCCTTAATGAACATGAACCCTAAGTGGTTGATCAACGCCAAACACTCTACCCTTTTGCCTTTACTTTAGAAATCTCCAAAATAGCTTATCTTTATTAGCGGACCTCATCTCTCTCTTCTGTAAAAAAAAAAAAAGACCGGATCCACTACTAATCTCAAGAGGAATATATATCTTTCACTAAATCACTAAAACCAAATCAAAGTGGAAATCCCTTACAGTGTTACTCAAGGCCAAGCACATTCTTATTTATAATTCTATAAGGTACATATTTCCTTTCTTCCAGAGAATATGTTCGCATCCATTGATGCCTTGCTGTGTACCAGTCCGCGAACGACTGAACCTCCTCTAGACCACTGTTTAGACGACGGTGAGTTCGAATATCAATAGATTCACTAGCATTAGATAGAAACCTAAAAAAATCAAGCTAAAAAACCTGTTGTAGTTGTTGGAACTTACTGTCCAGCTTTTCAGGAAAAATTCCGTCACATCACTATAACAACCAAATCTCCTTAAGGCAACCCGCCAACGAGCGCTACCATGAGCCGACGACAAATCCATTCACGAAATCCGTTTCGGATCCAATGCATACCACAACTACCACCTCCGCACCGGGTTAGATTATGTGGCCTTTTACTATTACCATACAATGGCCTCCATCGATATATGGCGCTTTTGATTCAAAATAAATCAGATATACGAAAGGCATGGGTGTATTCACACATCCGAGCCATTTTTTTCCTTCTTATGACCGTCAAACAACGACAACCAAATTACAGATCCCTCAACTGCTGCAGTTCCCCATTAAAGGTATAACTGCCTTACTCAGTAGATAATTTGCGTATTTCAGTCTCCTCGTTATTCTCTCCGCCACCGAATTTCCCAGCTGATCGTCTACAGTACCCTATCTTCACAAATAGTGTACACACATTTTATGATCAGTTGGCGTTAACGCGTGAGTTCAATATTTAAGCTCTCAGGGCTTTTTAGAAAAACACAAAGCGATCTAATTACAGTAGGAGCGTGGCATACGTGGGGAAAAATACGACGACCACGTACCGCGTTTACCAGCGAACAACTTATCCAATTGGAACGTCAATTCAACGAGAATAAATACCTCAGTAGACCAAGACGCTACCAACTCGCACAAGAACTCTGTCTCACTGAGACCCAGGTGAGTACGTTCGCTTCCTCGCACTAATACTCCAAGAAAGTGTTAGAAGTTCATACACCGGTTCCGTTGCTACCTTTGGACTGGATATCTTTGAATGCTTATCGAATTAATTCTCCATGAAATCCTCACAGAGCCTTGCTAGGGCGTTCCCAGATCGTTCTTAAGTTTTTAGCAAATGCAGTTACAATCTTTTATAGATTGGATGAAGCCAAGTGATCTCGGGCAAGTCTGATATCAATTTCCTCACCCCAGAGATGGGAGGCTTGGTTGGCCCTGAGCGCGATAGAACGAAAGCTCAAACGGTATCACAAGCACTGTACCACCCAGTCGCGGTTCTTCGTATCTATTGGGCTGTTTTGGTGCAGAATGCAAAGAGGCGGAGCTCACCTTTGCTAGCTAGAACTATTTGGTGAATAGTGAGACCACATATGATACCACCGCTAAGCAAGTGACCTATCAGCATAGTGTTGTACTCACGCGCATACACGAGGTTGTGCTAAATCACTATTGTCGCTGTCGTTTCGTGCCATTCGTATTCTTCAGAGACGGATTTTGTTCGCAACCGTTCATTCTTGCGATGTGGATCTGTAGTCTCATCGAGTCGGATGCAACGGTGTGGAACATGCTCGAATAGAGTTACCCCACTCTGAAATGCCCATCTATCAACTCCTTGCCAAGTATACCAAGTTCCTCTATTTATTCGTATGGTGCATGGGTACGCTTGTGTGCAAATAGCTGCTCCTCACTCCAAGCCGAGCTCTCATGATATTGCCGGTGTTAAGTTGATCGTAAAAATGGCCACTTTTAAGTAGTAAATTTGTATCATAAGTGCAATAATAGTAATCAAAATATGAACGGCTGGTACCCAGTCATTTGTACAACAAATTGCAATTTCATTTGCACCAGTATCAAAGAATTCTGGCGTTCTAGAAGCGATGCTCTCTTCGAAGATAATTCCGGAAGTGGCTTGATTAGTGAACATTTCTCTTTAAAGTACCTGTCTGCATCATTTATGACGTGGCTGAGTTTGCAGCCCAGCTCCTCAAACTTCTACAGCGGTTGTGGAACATATGATGAGTCAATGCCGTGCAAGATGATTGGACCTCCTCTATTACCTTGTGCCGGACACGAAGCTGTATTTTTTTTGTATTTCACTAATTCTACACTTCCTCTCTGCCCTTTTTCTACCAGTGTTCAAAATAGATCCTACAAACTACCCACAGAAATCAAATATGGTCATTATTTTCACAGCGATATATTGTTTGCTCACGATTGTCTAACGTTTCAGCAGAATCTATCTTCTAAAAAGCCTCCAAAGAGTTCTCTTCACCTTCTTCTGTACCGTGAAACTGAAATCCAGTTTTTGGGATATACTATTGAAATCATGAAAATTTTTGGCAAAATCAGGGCTTAGAAAGTCAGGTTAATCATAAGAGTGATAAAAAGTCCGTCTTGGAAACTATGCGGATTTGGTTCTACATGTTGATTCGATCAAATGGTAGCAGTCGAGTGAATTAAGTTCGGAAACGACTCCAGTGGATGGGCCTATGTCAACAATGATAGAAGCTGTAAGCTTACCGAGCCCTTGCAGCAACCTACGCATAGTCAAATTTGCCGAAAGGTTGCAGGGCTACATTCGAACAGCCAACAAGCACAGTACTTTTGTTCTAAACCAGCCTTACGCAGCAAAACTGACCATATATTCCATCCATGAATTTTTCAGGTCAAGATCTGGTTCCAAAACCGTCGCATGAAGAACAAACGCTACCAAGGACAAATAGTAAGCACTCATACGTCAGAACCACTTCAACGTTAGCGATGTTCATTCTTTTGCGCTGAACATTTCCCAGTACTTGTACAAATAACCGATAAAAAGTAGCATACTGAAAAGTTATGTGAACTATATATCTACAGGGTTTAGCAAACCCGTTCTACATATTTAATGAAGCCTGTGATCGAAATGGTAAGAGCTAAAGATAAACGTCAATTAGACAAACCTCAAAAGGAAATACAAAAAGTCCCGAGCCAATTTAATACGTACCAAGACACCCGTCAGCGGATGTACGCAAATATGCACACGTTCCCACCTAAGCAGTACGGAAGCAAAAACTAATTCATCGTTGTATTTTCTATTATTAATGTCATGTTGTATTGGCAAGCTTACACGAGCTTGTCACAATTTTCACTAATACCAGAGTAAATGGAGTCGAATGCTTAATGCAGTTGTTTCCTGTGCTGTTAGTCTTTGTCTTCGTTTCGAATCGAGTCCAGTGGAGTGAAATACCACAAGAATAATGTTACCTCAGTTGGGAAAATTCCCATCACTGTGTAATACCAAACGCCCAGGTTCATTTCTCCTGCCACCGTAACCTTCCGCGTTACCGTACACCAATGCTGGGACGTTCTCTATAATTCGCAGCAATGACTTATAAACAACTCTCTGAAGGTTTGATGACGAATAATAGAAAAGCGGAGCAGTGCAAAACATATCACGCCGCATCAAAAGGTCCACGCCAACGATCCCCGAGGGAAAACGGCACAATGCAAAACCGCACGCGTGATATTCATTACTACGGTATACACAAGGGAATACTATAAAGCGTAATGGTCTTAGAAAGCAGAGGAAACGAAGGAATCACTCGGTCTTCAACAAGAATTAAATGTATAGTGGCAAGGATCACACTTCAAGAGGGTTGTGCTGCTGTCTTACTGTTCGAGACTTACTTCAACGCTCTATTCCGTTTCAAACAAATCAAAAACCTTGTTCTTCCTTTCTGTAGATACTGAACTAAGTGATTGTTTAAATTGACGTGAGAAGTCAACAAGTTGGCATAAATGTAAATCTGGCAGAGAAATGATGCTGTGCATGCTGAAGAGTAACTTCGTCTCACCGATATAGGAAACGGGGTTGAGAACTCGTCATTCTAATAGGGAAGCTCATCGAAGAGTACACCAGTGCTACGAATTACCACCGTCCTCCTAGAAAATTTATCTTAATGTGAGCAATCTTCACCCTATTCGTAAGCTACAACGACTGTACTGAAGGAGTGCAGAAGCACTAGTAGGGCTACTTTGGCAGTCTACAAAAAAGACCGAACGCGCATCAATGTAGTTTATTGCGCCGCATCAACAATACCAAGACTCTATTTCAACACAGATCATCATGTCCTCAAAAACCACAAATCACACTAAGTGTAAAGTGATTTCGCTACCACAGACTATGTGCGGTAGCTGCTTCTCTTCTTTCGGCTTGCCACACGAAACCTTTGTAGAGGCCGCAGCCCGCAATCTCAAACTTGGGTAATTAGACAGTCTACAGCAATAACAGTACAATAATGACGATATAACAACACCTACACAATTCAAATGGCAAGAAGGCAACAACGGTGAATAAACGAGGTCAACTGATGAGCGAGAGGTAACCCTTGAGACAGAAGAGTAGTTCTGCATAGACTGATAGCGCAATACGATGCGCAAGACATATGTGAGGTTATAATAACAATGCAGTGAGGTAAACATATTAGAAGGCGCTTGTGGGGTTATAATAAATTTAGCTTGTACTAACAGCACGGCGATCTTATTGATTGTGGGATTGTGAAAGGTTTGTTGGTGATTCTTAGGATCGTGATTAGCGTCAGATAAAACAGTGACCATGTGGAAGTAAGTCTAAAAATTGGAATTTGCTACATGAAATGAGCGACAAGAAGGATGTGATGAAAGCAAGGATGCTAGGGAAAAGAATAATAAAGAAGATCTAACGACGAAACATTGGCAACCAATGTTTCGTAGTACATACGTTTAGTGCTGACGGGTGGAACTATGTACTATCACCCTGTTTGACTATCCTCTATCTTTAAACTTCGTCTTAAAAAACCGTGACGTTGGCCTTGTGTCCATAGAATACTTCTTCCATGGGAAAGTGTTTCTCAAGAATAATGGATTTCGCTCTCTAGCATAAGAATTTAGAACGGCATACGGTTGGTACTCTCACGAAAAATGATGGCTACTCGATCAGACACCCGCCTCCCCCCCCCCCCCCCCCCCTGCCCCATTCTTCAATACTAGGCTTACCACTACCTAATTTTGTAAAGATTCAATTCAGCCACAACCTAGAATACAACACTTGTCACCAAACAAAGAAACACTCTCCATGAAAAGCTGGTTTTAAAGACCTTTTTAAATTTAAATACTCCGATCGCGCCTTTACATAACCAAGGACTTGCTTGATAATAAAGAAAAACTGAAGCTATATTCGCATCCCGCTTCATCGTGGCTAGGAGGAGATGTTTCTGATGACGGGTTGCGATATACAAAGGAATTCATCTCGGCAGTAAGATCTCGCATGCTGAGAAGGAGTCTGACGTTTCCATCCGGAAACCTAGCTAAGAATGAACCAATACCACGAATCACCACCGCTGTGATGTCAAACTAGTCACATAGTAGTAAATCCCCTTTGATCCATAAGGGCAGCGACTGCATGGGTGGTGACGACTTGAGGAAGGTTTTGGCTAACATGACCTCGGGACTTCAAGGAACCATAATGACTAAACCGAAAAAATCCGGAATGGAAATCATGCTGGGACCCGCACAACCAGTGAAGACGGGCCATACAAGTATCCAAGTGAATAAGGAGCTATATTCGACTGCAAAACAGCTATCAACGCTAAGAAGTACAAATTGCAAATTCTTGCATAGCCTTCAACAGTTCTGACAGAAAAAAACCGTAGGAAACAGTTCAAGAAAAAAAAAACCGTTCTCAGGAACTGTACGCGGTATCCAATCAAAACCTAGTGTTTAATACTTTCATGTTCAAGTTTGAATCTTCCACTGGAGAAATAGTGCCTTAAATCACTGGAGGAACTAACCCTTCTCAACAATGAAAACTGGGGGAATTTGTGCCTTTGCTGACTTCACGCTAAGATTATCCTATCAGGAACGTCCAATGAATCATAACCAACGGTTCCGCAAACTGGATTTTGAAAGTAATTCTGCAGTATAGATCACACCTAACTTATAACTGCAATCATTGGAATTTTTCACGAGTACTGTCCACCCTTTTTTAAACCTTTCTCGACCATACAAAAGTTTTCGACAGCCTCGCAACGAATTCCATAAGATCAGCGATGACCAACAAAGGAAACAATTCATCCTATGTAAAACCTTATCGTTTACGTTTATCGCAGCTATACTGCCGAAATAGAGACCTTCTACCGATTCTAAATGATTGCACAAATGGGCCTGACAAGACGACACCATCTTGTGCATGCTCTTCGCCGGGCATTGAAGCTGACAATGAAACTGTGAGAGCGGGATTAAAATCATGAACATTGATTGATAGAGAATTCATATCAACTTGCTGATGACATATTCTTCTACAAAACTATAAGTGAGGCAAGACCGATGCTCAAAGAGCTCGACATAGAATGACACGTCAACTAGGATGGGATTGTTCGCCACAAAGCGCCTGACCGGTACTCTTACAGCATTTGGCGGCATGCAGTTCAGGCTGTTATCGGCAACCCCTTTGCAACTCAGCGCAATATGAATCTAAAGAGAAGCACAGATCGATATAATGACAAGAAATGACAAGAAAGAAAGAAGAGTGCTACAGGAGGCGATAGGCTTTTGAGTCTACACCGAAAAAATATCAGGGGAGAAGGGGCGTGGGGGAGAAGTGTGGTTCGGCTCACGTATTCCAGCTCTGTTACGCGTTGAAAACGATATTACAGCTACAAATTTCCACGAATGCTTGAAACAGAGCGCCATTATGGAACTTGATCGCGAAGAAAAAAGTCGGAAATCTATCAGGACCAACACTACCCATGTAGATAGACGAAAACCCAAATATTCATGAAAGCACCAAGGAAAGTCAACATGTTGTGTTGTGTTTTTTTGAAAATATGTGCAGTTTATCGACCATAGAAACTAAAAGGTAAGCAGTAATTCCAAGCCAAAATGAGTCTTTTCCTCCACTAAGTGGACTATTAGACGGACCTTCATGTGATTTGCACTTTGAATTTTGAAAGATAACACGAGAAGGTATGAGTTAATGCAAGGAGTTTTCCAACAAACGCAGCAGCACGCTAGACCTCGAAGACGGAACTTAGGTGGCTCAAAGATAAAATGTTTTCTTTGTGGTCATATGTCGAATAATGAATGAATAATCGAATAATCTATCCCATTTCCCATTAAAGCTGTTTGTGACTGACTGTTCCACGAGGACCTAACTGGGTTAAAGTGGACGGTTCGTAAGATTTAAGGATTGCACAATAAAACTTACAGCCCCAGCTTAACTGGCTTCGTTGCCGACTGGGTTCCCAGATCAATCCCGTTGTCCGGTGATTGCTAATGGTACTGGTACATAGAAAACTACCTGAGAGATAAGCGAAACGAAGAACCCGCATGGTGTGGTCGTGAACGCGTTAGCACTCGGAAAGGGTAATAGCGCGTTCGTTCCCGATCACAGACACCTTCGCTCTGGAGTTTTGCAGATATCTCATCATCATTGTGAAATATATTTGACTGAGTCAACTTTGAATAAGATTAATATTTCCAAATATCCTTAAAACCTTTAAGGAAACCCTGGTTTGTCATCAAACAGAAAGTACACATAAAACCTGTTCATTGAATGAATATAAAATGGAGCAATCTGGTTCATAAACATTTTAAAAAGTACAAAACATTACCATTATACTCTCAGAAAAAAAGAAAAACAACCATTACAACTAAACTGAGGTCACCTTCAAATAAGTCGCGCTTTACAAGTGAGAAGACAGAAAAGGTCAGATCAACAAAACAGAGTTGATACAACCGTCATTTTCCGGATTATTCGTCACCTGAGCAAACTTTCCCCAAACAACCTGAAAAATACTCTTATTTACATAAAACTTAGATTGCAGAGTAACCCTAACCCGATGCAAATGTCCCGAAAAGGGATGAGCACAATACCAAGAAGCCAAGTGATAAACTAGACTAACCTTTCCTCCTTGTGTCACCATACCTAACTCTGACACATTAACTTCAATGATAGTGCCCTTTGTTATCACACCTAATGACGTATACATCTGACTAGAAGGGTTTTTCTTCACTCCCACAATTGGAAGATAAAAAGTCGTCTGGAGTTCTGGATGAGTCACATGAGCCTAGGAAAGGAATAATAAGAAGAAAAAGTTTATAAAAGGCTTACTTCGAACAAACACAATGACGCACCTTTGTAAACCTTAATCCCATGGGACGAATAAACCTCTCGAACTTCGCTGGCTTACGAGTAAACGACTCTCCAACATAAGTGACCTAGATGAAAGATATCACTATCGTGATACTTTACATAATATCCCCTACCAACAAAAAGAATGGGCAGCAAGTAAAGTTCAAAACATGTAGATGAAAGTGTAAGAAGTATTTCGGATACAAATATTGATTATATATTATATTATATATTGATTATATATTATAATTATATATTGATTGATAAAGAGAAACTAAAAATCACCTTCGTAACCATTCTCTTCCAGCCTTTCCTATTCGTTTTGCCAGACTTGACCACTTTAAATGCTTCGGCATCACTGATAGCTTTGACTTGAGGAATAGGCACTTGATATTTCCCCTATAATTCAGACAGACAACTGAAATGAATTGAAAAACTTTTGTAGACAGTACGCTATTCGCGAAAACAGCGACTGAATTTCGAGATTTCTTCAGTGGTCCAAGTTTCACCATTTTTGGACAACTGAAGACAAAATGCAACCATAACGATGGTGAGATATTTGCAAAACTGCGGATAGCAGGTGTCAGCGGTGGGGAACGAAAGCGCTATTACCCTTACCGGCGGCTAACGCGTTCACCACCACACCATTCGGGCCGTTCAAAACAACTCAAACTCATCAACTATTCAACAAGGTAATACACAAAGCATGAATGCACAGTTGGATTTACTACTCACAGCTTTTTGCTTCCTCTTTTGCTTGATCATATTTGAAAGAACTGTTCCTGTTGTTTGTTGTCGACGATCCAAAAGGTACACCGGAACAGCACCCTAAAGTCGAAATAACCCTTCAAGGCAAAAACTCGACAGAATACCCTCAATTTCTATGAATTCAAAACCATACACTAGAGTAATGGATGTCCGAATAGAAACATACCTGATCAGGGGCTTCCACCGTGCCCTTTTGCTGCTTTTCTTCATGTTGTTTGAATAACTTACGCATTTCCACCTAAACATCTTAACAGCACTACGAAGACAGAGATCTTCCTACACTCTTATTCAGGTAAAATAGTAACCTTCTCAGAATATCTCTTCTTATGATAAAGTTTAGCTTTATGACCGCGGAGTTTCTTCGCCACTTGAGATCGCTCATGGCCAGCTCTAGCCAGCTTTTTGCGCCTAAGCACGTAAACTTTTGAAAAAAGACGGTTGGCAAAGCTCATAAAAAAGCATAAAGCATAAAGCTCGGTGCTGACCAATTCCTGAGAGGTGCGCCATGCATTCGACTTTATTAAGAACCGCTGTAGGACCGCTGAAGGTGCATATCTGCTCTTTACAATGACTTGCGGCGGCCTACCGATGTATCGAACCAGTGCTGATATCCTCTCAGGCAAGTCTGGCACCAATAAGGTTTGATGAGCATAGGACACAGGGACCGATCCCATGCAGAGCGCCTCCGACCACTGCGCTACACGCACCATAACGAGAGTAACTATGGAAAAACACAGAGGCAAACCACTTACTGTCGTTCTTCATAATCGAGACGTCTCCCATGTCTTTTACGATGAAGTTCAATGTGTTCGTTTTGTGGCTGGAACAATAAACGACCAGAAGAAGAAAACTAAGACCACGTGCCGAACCAACAATGGAGTTCTACCTGTCCAAAACAACTCACCATTTTCCCCCACACTGAGGTAACCACAACAGAGAAGTACCTGCAAAAAATAGAAAAAAATGTAACACAACAGGTGAAAATACGTAAAGGAGATCGAACTCGGATCACGATAACGGCACGCCGCAATTAAAGTCAAACCAGATAAGAAATTAGAACTAACAAAGCTCACAGTCCCAGTCTAGCAGCCAGAATAAACTGATACAATTCCGAACAATGAGGAATCAGCACGACTAAAAGAGGACACCCAAAAAAAGTGCATCGGGAAATGTGCTCTAAAGTAACCAGTGAAGAACTAACCATAGTTGGCCAGATGGCCCCGCACCGATTAACTGAGAAGCGCGAGAATTTGGAAATTGAATTGGGAGTTGCAATTTCGTATTGACTGATGGGATTGTCAAGGAACTTTAAGGTGTAAGACTTTTGTTTGTTCTGTTGTATTTATGATATATTGTATTACTTTATTCATACTTCCAAATTTCGTTCTGGAAAGTCGTGTATCGATTTGCTGTTTAAGATTTCGCTTTTGATTGAATCGAACGGTATCTTTTCAAACATTTAGATTTCCTCTTCTTTCCTTTGGAACTACTACATTGTCTTTAGTATTTAGCACTAAACTTAATGCTATGTCGCTCGAAAAGGGCTTTAAACATTCCTTTCACACGGTTTTACCAAATGGCCTTGATTCCTTTTACGAGTTCGTAATTGTTCGGGTGTTTTCTTTTTCCTGTTAGGTAGGCTCAACTCATGTTTACCTTCACGAATACTTGGCAACTATTGTTCTGCAGGTTTCAGGGTTTTTTATTTTCTGAGAAAATTCTTTCCTTTTGAGAAAGAGTGTGAATCGAGAGTGAGGTGTGACTACTGTGATGCTGAGACACTTGCAAAACTCGGACTTCAGGCCAGAAAAGCGGCGGAAAGACTCATCGCTGCAGTGGGTAAGATGTTAGCCTCCGCAAGCGGTGATCGCGGGCTCGAATTTTGTCTGGGGTCCAAGTTTTGTCAATATCTCAGCGTCACTATGGTTATATTTCACATCATACCCTACCGTGAAAGAATAGTAAGCAGTACATAAGAAGTTAAACATTGAGCTATGCCTGTTATAATGATAATAGGGCCACTTTTCATACTTAAGTGCACTTTTAGTTGCATTTTAACTGTCCTAGAGTATTGCTATCCAATGGAAATAGGTCTTTTATACCCGTCGATGGAACTCTTTGTCTTGAAATCTGTGCCATTACCAAATGTGGAAGTTTTCTATGTCCTAGGATCTGGAAAGTTTCATTGTTCTGTGCTAAAATAAGGAAGGTAGAGGTTGAATCGATTTAAATCTTGGATCTTTCCAGCAAATGTGCAGCGGTCTCGATTGTACATTGTATGCTTTCCTCGATATTCTCGTTGTGCAAGCACAAGATATTATTTTATTCTTTATTACGTTGACGCTAACGTTTCGGCGAATTTCGCTTTCCTCAGGGCCTGCAATGGTAACATTGGCTGCAAGAAACTGGTGGTGTTTGGCTGGGTAGATTCTATTTGACCTTTCCAGGATCAAACGAAGGCGAAGTTCCCTGAAACATCAGCTGTAACGGAATAAAGAGTAGCGTAACACCTCGTGTTTGCTCAACGCGGATATTGAGAACTATTTGATCAGTGCCGGGTTTAATAGAAAGTCGGTCGTAGGAATTAGGAAATTACTGTATGCTTAATTTGTTAAAACCATCCATAATGAGAATTGTCATTGATTAATTGATTCGCCTATGTCATTCATGTTATCTTAGTAGTGATGACAGAACGACGATTTGAGTGTAAGAATTTCCGTGTACAATGTATCTTTGTCACAGTTGTTACAAGAAGAATTAACAACTGTTTACGCAAGTATAAGACTTGTCGTGACGTGAAATACTTTTGTTTCCTCTTTACATGGTCCCGCTCGGTGTCTTCGTTCTGAGTTGATGTAAGTTTGTTGTCTTCGACGAAAATCCATTATGTAAATGGTGGGGGGTTGTCGATTATACGGAGCTGTCCGAACCTACCCGCCTCTCAATTGCCCATCCAGATGTCAATCTCCCTAGCAGCTGCGCAATTCCTCTTTTTATTGATTCGTACGACTATGAATGTCGAGCCTCTTTTCTTCATTTACGGTTCCAATACCAGTTTCATTCATAGAAATTTTCATATTTGAATACATCCTATCGATACCGGCAAGTGGTAAGCTCCATCTCGTCGCCGTTGTTGATTTCACGAAGGGAACACGCATTGGAGGAGAGATAATCAGTAAAGAAGGATAAAACTAAGGATTTCGGAGAAAACGGATGTACCATGAACCTCGATGAGATAAATCCTTATGTGCTTAGAGAGTCAGTCCACATATGTCCTGTAGACTCCAATACAATTTCTGTTCATCGCCTTCCATTAATCATCCCATCGATATGGTCGGGGTCGTTTGTGGCTCCAACGGCGGTTGAGGGTCTGTCGTTTTCTGTTCTCATTCACATTTCCTTTGCTGACCGAATGCACTTTTCTTTGGCATTTCGAGATTATAGATTGTTTATCCACTAGGTGTTTACCATATGCAGTAGTTGGCTCTTTTGGTTGGTATGGTTTGCTGCCTTACGACTAGCCTTCTTCCAGCATAACAGTGATTCCCAGGATTAGTTGGCCGACTGATGATCCGTGATACAGTAGGCGGAATCCAACTATATAGTAATTCTTCGTATTTTTGTTGAGCAAAGTTGAGATGTTATTCTTTATTCACGAATAAGCTGACGTTTCGGCGGATTTCGCCTTCCTCAGAGCCTGGAAAGGTCAAGTTGATAGCAATCTATTGGGCCAGACACCTCAAAGGACCGAGTTTTTTGTCTCTATTTTTATTTGGTCCGTTTTCACATCTACTGTGCGGATCCCAGCACTTCTCACATTCGATTCGTTTCCTCGCATCCATTGTCCACGAAGGTCTCCCAACTTTTACATGTAGCTTCGGTTGCTACTTGAAGATTTCCATTTCATATTGAATGTCGTAGAATGCTGGTCGTGCGATTCTCCCTGGTGTCCTGAGGTAGCCGATCTGGAGGGTTCCCATTTGGATTCCAGAGAGTAATTTTTTTCGCAGATAATTCCGGTACCAATTTCCTGACCTTGGAGGGATAAGAGGCTTGGTTGGTCCGAAGCGGTATCGAACATCTGAGGAAGGCGAAATCGCCATGGCGTCTGCCATAGAGCTACAACAACAGCGACAACAAATTGCACCAGCCTCGCATCAGCTGGGCAAGATCAGTCCATAAAAATGTATAAATGAATATATCGATTGTGTAACTTAATGTTTCCCTAGTATCCCATAGTTTTACATTTCAGCGGGTTTTTCCAATCTACAATTTCTTTGATGTGGATTTTTTCCAATGGTGTCCTATTCATTATTGAGATTTATTTTTGCAACAATAAGTCAAAACATCGCGAGATGCGATCAGAACCTTGAGGTCCCCCGCTTAGAGTTGTTGTTCATGTTTCTCTTGCATAACTACTTCACCACCGTTTTTTTTTTGTTATTCATTTAAAGGGCTGTTTTATTTGAGCTTCTGCTGTTTCTTCGTAGTGGCAGCATGTGTTCATAATCTTACCAATAATCTTGTGAAATATTGTTGTGGAAAACGAAATACTATGCCTTAAAACTTCTACTTCTTGAGTTGATCCGTCTTTTGTTTTCAGCAATGAGTCGAGCTAAGCTCGACGAACCGCGCTCAGCACTCACGGAATCCCAGAATTACTGGGGGTTTGCCAACTTTCCCAATCAGGTCTTTCGTAGAGCGATTAAGGATGGTTTTAACTTTACCCTCATGGTAGTAGGTTAGCTGTATATTTGGTAATCCTTAAAATGTCCAACGCATCAAATTACACTTCGTGTTTTAGGGCGAAGTGGACTTGGAAAGTCCACTTTTATCAATACATTATTCTTGGCGGAAATTCACGATATGAAGGAGACACCAAGGCAAACTGGGTCGACAGTCAGAATCGAAGAGAAGCATGTAAGGCAGACAAGTAGCTCCACCACTTATGGGTTCTATATCGGGATTTTCAAATAGCATCTAAAGATCTTTAATTCTTAGGTGATGTTGGTTGAAAATACTGTGAAGCTCAATTTAACGCTGGTTGACACACCCGGGTTTGGTGACGCTGTCAATAACACTCGATGGTGAGGCTTTTCAATTAGTTTAATATGCTTTATTTTTGTAGTTTTTGTCATCCATTGTGTTTTGAACACTAAAACTCGGAATGAAGTCTATACGTGTCTTATTCTCCATGAATGTTGTCGAGTGTTAGTCGAGTTGATTCGGCTTTCATACCTGGGAGAGCCGTGATAGCTCATTCGTAGGACTTCGTTGGAAGCCTCTATGGATAATAAGAGCTTATCAAACAAACCTGGTACTAATTTTCCAACCGCTGGAGTGGTGAAGGGACTGTTTGACCCAGGGCGAAGTATAAGCTTCGTAGATCTGTTTTTCATTCGGTCACCACATGCGGCATCCATTTGCTTATTTACGTTTTTTTTACTCTTTACTTCGGTTCAGATTTCCTAAATCAATTGTCTTCCATCACATTACATATATATATATATATATATATATATGTACATATGTACGTATACATATATATATGTACATATATATACGCACAGATATATATTGTATGCACATGTATATATACACGTATATGTACATACAGATTTATTAACTTATATGTGGACCTACTTTAATTATTGGCGTCTGAAATGGTGGCGATAGGTCATCAATCTCTCTCTGGCCCTAGGCGTTCGGACATTAATGCATGATTTTAACCTGTATTTTCAAAGTGCATACCTCAATATAGAACAAATCTTATTAGTCGAAACAAGAACCATTAGAGCCTAATTTTTTGTCAGCAAAGAACAGGCTTGTTATTCCGGTTGTTCAATACTCTGCAGTTTCTGAGGCCATAAGGTCCATGATGATAGGTTCGGCCTCGACTTGATTTCTGAGGCATTGTTCGCGCAGGAAGTTGTCAAGATACTTGAAGAAGTGGTAGCGGGTAAGTCAGAAGTCCGGCGAGTATAATGACTAGGCGAGAGTTTTGTGGCCGCACTTCTTTTAACCTTTGCGGTCTCAGTGCGACGTGTGGCCACGCGTTGTCAAGACAGACTGGTCCCTCTCTGTTGACCAATGCCATATGTCGACGTTGAACTTTGTGGTGTATTTTATCGCCGTAATCATTCCACGCAGATTGAGGAAACCTTGAAGGATCACACCAGCAGGAGGCCACCGAACGGTCAATATGACCGTTCGTTGCAATTTTGGCTTTGCGACGTTCTGTTGAGCAGGTCGAATCACCGAAGTGACCGTATCCAGTTATAGGAGAGGTTCATTTCTCGTCGCTAGTCGCAATATGTTCAAGAAACCGGTTGTTGTTGTGCAGAGGAGCGCCGACGATACTTCAAAACGGCGACTTTTTTTCCTTCAAGTTGTATGGCATCCATTTGTCGAGCTTTTTCGGCTTTCCAATTTTCTTTAGATGCCGTGAAACATTTGAGATGATGGAATCGAGCTCTTCTGCTGGTTTTTGAATGGTGTATGCATTTGCTTCTACCACGACTTTCAGTTCATCGTCGTCAATAGCAAATCGTCTTCGCTTTCGTCGTCGAATTAGCCCTTCGACCGAGTTTGAATTCGTAAAAGTGGTTTTATTGAGATGTCTTAATCTCTGAAATTCTAACCTTTAACGGTTGTCAAAACTAGTGCACGTTATAATTCAACTATTCAGGGCGAAAGTGCATAAAGTAAGCTTTCTGTTGAAACATGAAGGTACAGCGTTCAAAGAAAAGATCGCTAAAAATGTAGAAAAAATGAAGTTGTTTGCATTCACTATCGAAAAACAGTCTATTCCATAATGATGCTGAGATATTATTTGAGACATTATTTGCAAACTCCCGACTGCAAGTGCCTGCGGTGGGGAGCGGAGCGAACGCGCTATCACCCTTCCGGATGCGGGTCTTTCGTTTGGCCTTCCAGCTAGTTTTCTATCTGCCTTGAGTTAATTCTCGAAAAACGACGTCTTCGTTAGGAGTTTTTGAAAGTGGCGTTGTACCTTACCATAAATAGGGTTCTAATTGCAACGCAGTTGTATCGCTCTAAAATGGGTTTTCTCCTTTTGTCACAATGACTCGGTTTTAGTCCAGGCCAGCAGAACACTAGGATGTTACCTTAGCAATTTGAAGCAGAACACGCATCTTACATTGATTTATGGGGCGATTTTTATCGAGAATGATACTAGTACATTTTATTGAGGATATTCATGCCTAGTACTGTTCGTTTTTGGGGAAGCTGGGATGTTTCATTCGTCTTTTTTTTCAGCTGGGAGCCTATAATCAACTACGTCGATGGAAAATTCCTGGAATTTTTTTGTGAAGAGACTAAAATCGAGAGAAAAGATAGACCGGTGGACAAATGTGTACATCTATGTCTGTATTTCATCGAACCAAGTGGTCATGGGTAGTTTTTTGGCTATTTGACTTGGTTTATTCAGTAAGGAGATATACTGTTGGTAAGACCTCTTCTTTATTTTTTCGGCCAACAAATTTTTTTTGTAGCTTGAAGCTACTGGATATCGAGTTCATGAAACAACTTCATACACGAGTAAACATCGTTCCTGTTATTGCCAAAGCAGACTGTCTCACAAAAGACGAGTTAAAAAGGTTCAAGGCTCAGGTCAGCGGTGTACATGAACGCCTGGTTGTTTGTCATAGTCAAGGTCATCAAAAAGAAAGTGAGATTACACTAACCAGCAAAATTCTGTTATTGATTAGTTTTCCAGATCAATAAAGATATAGCTGCAAACGATATCAAATTGTACAAGTTCCCTGAAAATGAGGACGAGAAGGACAAGGTACTAAATAATCTTTCGTTTCAAGTCGTTAATGTTTAGTATTCACTGATGAGAAAGACTTGGTTTCTAGGATCATGATCCATCATCGCTACGAATTCCTTGTAGATGGCGTTATCAACTCTCTTTCAGGCTGCCATTGAAAGGCTTAAGAGTTCGTTGCCATTTGCCATAGTTGGAAGTAATATGTTGAAAGAGGACGGTGGAAAGAAAATAAGATATAGGTTACTATGCGCTTCTTTAACCTTGTAGTTGATATGTTGGGAACTAGTGATATAAGACGAATAAGACGATACTCTTTAATGTAGGTTTATGTGAAGCTTTCTAGGGAATACCCATGGGGAGTTGTTGAAGTCGAGAATATGGCGCATAACGATTTTCTCCTTCTACGAGACATGGTTGTTAGAACGAATCTGATCGATATGATTGATGTGACTCGCTCAGTGCACTATGAGAATTTCCGACTTCGTCAAATGGATAAACTACCCAAGCACGCCATGGATAGGTACATTTAGAAAGTGAAAGAGCCTTCGGCCTCGCGTTGTTGGGAGGTTCTATATTAGGAAATTTTTGCATGGAAAAAGTTGTATAAAGTCCATTTTTGAATTTACAGAGATCCATTCACCCAGATGGAAGAGGATCGAAGGAAGAAGGAAAATGAATTAGCTGAGAAAAAGCGAGCCTTTGAAAAGGTTTGCTTTAACCTTAGATATTGTTCTCTTTAGAGAATCGATTACAACTTTGAAATTGAGTTGAACGATTGATTATATTTTTATTACTCTTGTCTTTACTTTTCATGTTTATATTAATCTTATGATCAATTTCATAGGTTTTATAGAAGTTTTATTTAATTTGAACAATATTCTGGGTAATATCTACCAAATAGGTAACACTGCAACAAAACCAGGAGGGCTTCGAAGCACGTTGCCATTGTGCCCAGAAAAATGAGTGCTATGAAACCCTCGTATCGTAAAACTTTGCACTGAGTGTGGGCTGTGGTAGTGATCATGCAGACTGATTGGTTCTCGTCATATCAAGTAACATTTTCAGCCACACTCCAGGTTTTATCATGTTACTATCGAGAAATCGGGCTGCAAGAGCTGATATTGGTAATGTTCAGCTGCGCACGCAGGTAAACACCATGTACCCGTGTCACAAACGGCGTGTGTAGCGCATTGGTCAGAGGCGCCTTGCAATAGACATGGAATCGACCGCTGAACCACGCCCATTAAGCCTTCCATTCCTCTGGGGTCGAAGAATTGGTACCAGACTTCTCTGAGAGGATAGCAGCACTGGCTCGGTGCATCGGTGGGCCACTCCGCGTCATTGTGAAGGCTAGATACGCATTCAATCACCTTCAACGATGCTTAGCGAAGTCAAATGCATGGCGTATACCTCAGGTACGCAGAGAGCTTTATCCTTTATCCATATCACCCGATTTTAGCGAGTCATTGCAGATTGCGTTTTCTTGATGGTATAGAATTTCCGAGTACTTTTTCCATGGTTATTCAACTTTATTGTCAACGTCTTCTTTTCGTTTCTTTTCGTGGTTAAATCCAATCTCTTGCAATCCGACCAGAGAGCGTTTTCTTGTTACTACACAATTGTTTCAGTTCCAAGTTTTCTCTAATTGTCTGCTTCGCCATTGTTCAACATTATCAGTGTCAAACAATAGCATTTTTTTCGATTTTTAAAAAACATTGCCAATGGACGGGTTTTGCGTTCAATTTTAGAAACAGTTGGTCTTAATGATTGTTTTTTGCTTTTAGAAAAAATCTTTGAAGATTTAGTCATACGAACTTATGTTATAGACATTCGCTGACAGGGTTAACGAACGAGAAGCCAAGATCAACGAAAGAGTAGCTAGAGTGAGGGTTTTGGTACATAAGCCATTTGTATTTTTTGTCTATACTTTTTAGTTTTAGTTGGACTTCCGTGAAAATGACTTGAAGAAAGAGATCGAGCTACGCAAAGCTGAGCTGGAAAAACTCAAACAAGAGGTTTGCTGTAGTTGCCTTTAGATTATGGGAATTAATGAAACCTAAATTGTAATGTAATTATAAGGTTGATGATCTACGACGAGGTTCCACTGGAGATTCGAAGATGTCGTTGACAGCGACCAATGAAAACTGCGACAAGAGTTCACCAACGGAAAAGTTCAAGAAGAAGAGTGGAACTCTGGGTCTCTTCAATAGGAACTGAGATCTCTTCGAATATCTTCCAGTTATGCGTATGCTATGCTGAGGCAAAGAGATAAATCTTCTGAGCCTGCGTTGATTTCCGCGTCCTTGCAGAGATGAACAATTTAAATCTCCAGCAGGGGTTAGTGCCAGGTACCCTATGTCCTTTTTAATTTGGAAAAAAATGGCAGTCATATTTGATAGCTAAGGAGAGCGTTTTAGGTCTTCACACGATTATGTCCATAACAAATATCCATTTTAGAAACAATTTTTCCTTAAGTCATATGAAGATTTCTTTAAAATTTTTAATATATGACTGTATTGGACGATAACAAGATGGATCGTCAAACGACATGAGTGAATAAGTTTCGAAGATGAAAAATGATAGAAGTCAGGTGTCATGGCATATCTTCTTGCAATTCTGCGCATTTGTTAAACCTGGTGCTATATTCTTCGTATTTACTCACTGTCTTCGGAGACAACTGTGAAGCGAATTTCTGAAAATAATTTTGAAATCATGGTACGTTCACATGTAGCAACGGAATCAAATGTAGGAGGTAATTGACAAGTCTTATGATAAGCTCAACAGCTTGACCTATTGTTAAACTGCGCATAGGAAGCCATGTTTTTTATTGGTGGCATGTACTGTGGTCGGACGCGTACAGCGTAGTGGATAGAAGTGCCTAGCAATACACACTAAAGCGGTCCGTGGTTCGATTCCACGCCCAAGGCTCACCAGCCTTTCAATCGCTCTACAATCGAAAAACTTTAGTAGAGTTGCCTGAGAGGATAAAAACACTGACTTAAAGGTTTGTAGAGTCCAAGAGGTCCCTGTTGAGGACAAATACGCATTCAATAACTTCTGCTATACGTAGTGAACTCGAATGTCTAGCACACTGCTAGGGGATTGATCAATACTGGATGGTTTTATACCCTCTAATACGGTAAAAGGATAAAGAAGATAAAGCTCTCCGCGTTGATCAATCTCTTAGGGATGCTCCTTGCATTCGACTTCATTCAGCATCGTTTGGGGGTGATTGAATGCATATCTGGTCTTTCCAATGACTTGCGGTGGCCTACCGATGTACCGATCCAGTGCTGCTATCTTCCCAGAGAAGTCTGGTACCAATTTGCCGACACCGGAGGGATTGAAAGTTTGGTGGCCCATGGGCGTCTTTAATACGGTAGGAAATTAAAACTATACTCAAATGACTAACAGTGGTCATAATGTGTTCCATAATGCAGGCATGTATCGTCTGCATTTGTATAGGACGTTGTACGGCATGCATACGGCCATTGCGAACTCGACATATACAATCATTGACGTTCACTTTAATGAAGCTGTCCGAATGAAGACGTTCATGAGCGATCTAAAACAAATTATTACGTTAAGGACTTCTTTCTTAGTGACTAGATATTTAGTTGGAATAGAAAATTAATGAACGCGATCAAAGTCGCAGTAGAAGATCCACCCGAAGAGCACGCTGTTTTTGAAGCCACATAACACCAAGAATTTCATCGTTTGTGGATCAAATTATGGCATCAGTCGGCTGTCCTGTGGGTACAGTCATAATCGATGATGTCGGATTAACAATTTTTATTTAACCTCGTTCTAGTAGGTCAATATCCTGTCTTATTGCTAAATTTGCTCGACTTTGTTAGAAACTTTATTGTGGCTAACATTTTGGAGTCGTCGCCTTCTTCAGAACCGCCACTATTCGAGTCGAGTGTCCGCAGTAGTGTGGAGCGTTACACTGCGCGATCGTCTGACACGGTGAGACTGTGAAGACTCACACATTGTAAGTGGTTACTTATACTCGCTAGTGGTGCTATTTGAAAAAGAAAAATGGTAGAACCATAGTAGTACCAGACCACTGGACCTATGTGGATTGCTTTTTCGCCATAACTATTGCAATTTATGATTGAAGTCACATTTCCTCCATTACTGCTCAGCGTAACACTAGGTCTACCCAAGGGTTTTAATACGTCCTAACCGAAGTAACAAGGTTGTCCAGTGCTTTATATGCAAATGGATCGCTTAGTTCGGCAGTCTAGTTCTGCAGCTACAACCGATCTGTCGCTATATGCAATTGTTGGAAGCTAGCTTGATTCCACGAGAACTTTTCTTGTGCGGCATAGGAGGTCAACTCTCTTCTGTCGACATTCCTAGGATTGGACGACAACATATTGCCGTTACTGATTTCGAAATTGAAGTTTGATTCATTAGAAATGGCGTCTCTTCGGATTATGAGGTTTACCTCGAATGCAGCGTAGGTACCGGCTCGACCACAACCAGACAAGCTCATGTAGACATGCGGATAGGCATATTTTCTGAAACGTAATACAAATCAAAGTTTACTACGAAATTACGAAAAGTTTTGGGTGTCCGTGGAGGAATATGTGACAAAGTATAAGAATTATTCTTAAGACTATTGCTGGAAAAAAAGTCCTACTAAGAATTGTGATCAATGTGAACCACCTAAATGTGGATTCAATCTGCCAAATGTCGAGAATTCGAGCCGGTTGTTTGCCATGAGTCCATCCAGAGTAGTGATGCATATGTACGAACCTTAGAGCGAATAATTTAAATAAGGATAGGCATAAGTAAAGATGAACCAGAAAGTCGAAGGCCTCACGATCACATGTGACCTGGCGACTTGCAAATAAGGAGTTTTTCAAATACTTTGTAAATGTAACCTTTTAATGTCACCGGTTCGGACACATATCACGTGCATTGTCCAGTCACGATCAATGACGACTCTTTTGAACTCGCCGACCCGTATGTGAGTTCCATCGAAGTGAAGAAAATCTCTGAAATGAAGGACATCACCGTATGCGATAAGATCGTGCCACACGTACGCTACAAGTGGCCGACAAAACTTTTTTTTGTATTTCTTGAACAAATTTAAATACGGACCCACTAACCAAGAGCTTTAAAGCTGATAGTTGAACGTATTCGAAAGAAATCGTTATGCTGTTTTATGGGACGCGCTATCTTCATTCGCTCATTTGGATAGTGGAGAAATTCATTATGCAAGACATTTAGATCATTTTTTTAAGGTTTTGTTTTCTGCCTTCTATAATTTTCATGGCAGGTTACTAAGCGAAATACAACCACAACGTTGCTGAGATATTTGCAAAACTCTGGACCGCAGGTGTCTATGGTGGGGAACGAACGCGCTATTGTCCTTTCCGGAGAGTAACGCGTTCACCACCACACCATGCGGGTCCTTCGTTTCGCCTGTCTCTCAGCTATTTCTATCGATCTTTTTGCCACAACAATCACCCGTCAGCGGGGTTGAACTGGAGAGCACAAATCGGCATAGAACCCAGTTAAGCTATGGCTGTAGTTGAAATCACAATGTTTTTTAAGCTTTTGTTTTCTGCCTTCTATAATTTTCATGGCAGGTTACTAAGCCAAATAACCCCGCTGACGGGTGATTGTTGTGGCAAAAAGATCGATAGAAATAGGTGAGAGACAGGCGAAACGAAGGACCCGCATGGTGTGGTGGTGAACGCGTTACTCCTGGGAAAGGACAATAGCGCGTTCGTTCCCCACCATAGACACCTGCGGTCCAGAGTTTTGCAAATATCTCAGCAACGTTGTGGTTGTATTTAGATCATTTCTTGTTAAGAAATGAGATGTAGTAACGTACTGTTCGGCGGGAAATACCCAGTTTCCATGGAACATATTGTATTCGGCATGCGTGAGTATTAGGAGTATCGCCTGCACGTCCAGTTCAAGGATCATTTGCCAGAACTCCCCACCACTTTCACGAACGGGAAGTTGTGTGAGAATCACCTGAAGGGTACCACTGAGAAGAATGGAGACATTTTCATCAGACGAATGATCGCTAGACATATTCGGAAATCAAAAAGATATATATCAATGAAAGGAGTGGATAAATTGCCTTGTTCTGCTAATGTTATGAACCGTCACTGCTAAAGCGTAACAACTATGTTGCATGGTGTATAAATAGTCTTCTGGATCACCAAGAGCCACTTTGGTCGTCCAGTAACTCAGGCAAGCGCCAGTAAACTCCATTCGTCCCTGTGAGCACCAGGACTGCTGGAAGGGTTACGCTCTCGCAAAAGATACGAACAGCATCGTGTTTCTGATATGGTGCTCTTTTCGACTGTTTTCTGCTGAAAAATAGCCATGGGTCACTCACCAGGTCTTCTTGTTACATAGGTTTCTCAGATTATTTCCTAAACGAAAATTTCGAACTCGCGACCCTGGACTACGATACAGTATGAATGAAATTGTTGTGAACCAGAGTTCAGCACCCAGAGTCTTCCACGATTAGGCGGTTAATTACTTGAAAGGGTATCAAACTTTATTCATGTTTTCACTAGTGTGACGTAATACACGACATACAACAAATATATTACATATAGAAATGTTTACCTTCTTGGTTGGCGAGATGTTCACCCAGCTAGCATGTATGTAGGAACCACAGTTGAGCCGCACTCTAGTCTGGTCAATGCACACAACGTCTGCAAGAGTGGTGTTGTTGAAATGATTACCCGTGGTGATAACTGAAGTCCCTTTCGCACTAGTAGGATAGCCACAGTTGAGTTTTTGTAAGCATGTATGTTGAATGCCCTTCGATTATTTTTAACAAATTTTCAAACATTCTATGACCACATGTAATGTTGCAACGGAGTCGGATCCAGTACGTTTGAATAAGCTTAAGGGTAATCTCATGAATCTATATGAATGAATCTCTCATGAGAGGGATAAATAATTTAGTGTTAATCGGATAGAATCGGATTATGTTGATTGAAGTTTTCGACCAGTATCAAGCAAGTTTTCGCGATGTTTAACTGTATGGATGTCTTTGTATGTAAACTCTGAAGTATGTGTTGCATTCAAACCGAAGCATACATAGCCTGCTTTCTTCGATCAATTATATTTTCGACCAATCAACCAACACTAAGGATCTTCAATTGGGAATATACCGTAGGAAAGGCTTAGGAACTAAGAGAACTTGAGAAACTATGCAGTGTGTAGCTCTACAGAGTTAATTCGTTAGATCTGACTATCCAATATTGCATGATTGATGGGATATCCCTGTAGGAATTGCTTTGAGGGTAAAACATTTTGCTCAACATGTGAGATTGACGGAATCCTTGGCCCCATGGGAATCCATGTATCACTCTATCTGAGTTTTATTGAACCTGTTGGAATGGCTCTACGATCAGTCATCGAAAAATGCTGGTAAACAGTAAGGATGATAATGATGTGTGAAATAGGAATTATATGACTTCGGTGGAAAGCATGACAGCTTATCATCTTTGGTAGAAGACAAAGCACAGTTTCCACTTATTATTATTATTGCACGATCAGGCATCACATGTATTACAACCACTGAATTCCAACAATTCTTGCACTTCATTCGTCTACTCGCATCCATCATCAGTGAAACTCTTCTAATGTTTTTTTTTTGGAATGGCTTTCATTGCTTCTTAAGGATTTTCTGGCCTTCGTCACAAATGTCGTTGGGTGCTGGTCGAGTCGATGCTCACTAGAATCCGAGACGGATGCACTGGGACGTCCCCACATAGATTATCAAAAGTGGACTTGTTCAGACAAGTATGGTGCTCATTTCACGACCTCAAACAATCGAGAGGTATGGTGGGTCCGGAAAGGGTCGAACAATCTCCTGGATGGGTTAGGCATATATGTAATGGACGGGATCACCGCGCTATCCGTTTGCTATTCTTCTGACCAAGAAGATTTTTACCTGTTGTTTCGATAGCTGTATAGGTACTGTAAAGAAGTCACCACTGGCAGTTTCAGAACTTTCTCGATAGATCGTAGACAGCGTTCCGTCATCCGATTAGATGCACGCAAGGCCAAAGGCAATTAGATCCGGTAACTTCTCGTTTACTAATCACAATGTCTCCTCCCAACGGTTTACCGCCTCATCGTGGCTGGGAGGTTTTCCTGGGCCTCGGGCTGCGATGTAGAGCGGCGCGATTTATCCCCAGGCAGGGTCGCCCAAACTGAGGAGTCTGGCGTTTCCATCAGGAAGCCTAGTTAAGAGTGGACCAATACCACGATCCACGATGGTCCTAATATCAAAGTCGCATGGTGGCAAATCTCTCTCTAATCCACAAAGGCTGCGACTGCATGTGGTGGTGAAGATCTGGGGCAGACTTAGGCCAGGGTGACCTCGGGATTCCAGGGAACCACAACCGCTTAACCAGTAAACCTCCAAAAAATGAAGATTATGCTGGGGACGCACAACCATTGAGAACGGGCCGTTAAAGTATCAACTAAGTAAGCAATCATAATCTTGCTTACAAATAAGTAAAAAGAATTCTATTCTAGAAAAAGCTCAAGCAACTTCTGATGGATCCACAGCAGGTCTCTCAGTACTCCTTCAACTCCTCACAGAATCTACTCGTAGGTCTAATAGTTTCAAGACACAAAAGTGGGCGACGCTTTTTATGTGGCACTGGCGTATGACTGCAATCTAGAACAAACCTTCAAATCTGTTTTTCTCCATGTTCGCGTCAAAAGCAGTGCGTGTCGCCGTAGGCGGAAGATATCCTCGAATCAAACGAAAATCAGCCTTAAAAGTTCAGCTGGAAATCATAACAATTAGAAATATGAAGTGTACGGTTAACCTGCATTGCTTCACTTCCACCTTCTATCGCCTTCTCCATATATGCCTTCCATTTCTGTGATTTGTCACAGCAGGACTTTTCAGGATCTACGACGTACAGTATGAATATTTTCTATCAACAACAGGTTTTCTAATTTATAAAAACGATATGCGTTAATTTGGACTCCACCACAAAGACGCGCTACTATAGGTTTAATAATAGATTACTTGAACTTTGTTAACTTTTATTTAAGGCGTATTACAATTTTCATGGCAGTATATTACGTGTGATACAACCAAAATGATGCTAAGATATTCGCAAAACTCGGGAGCGCAGGTGTTTGCGGTGAGGAACGAACGCGCTATAGCCTTTCCGGGGCTAAAGCATTCACCACCACACTATGCGCGTCCCTCGTTTCGCCTATCTCTCAGTAAGTTTTCTATCGATCATCAGCGTCAGCAATCATCCTTCAACGGGATTGATCTGGAGAGCACAAATCGCCATAGAACCAAGTTAGTCTGAGGCTGCAGTTGAGATCGAAATGTTCAACACAATGAAATCACAATCTGAGAGACAGGCGAAACGAGGGACTCGCGTGGTATGGTGGTGAATGCGTCAGCCTACTGAAAGGGTAATAGCGCATTCGTTCCCCTACATCCAACAACAAACACCTGCGGTCCGGAGTTTTTCAAATGTCTCAGCATCACTGTATTTGAACTTTGTTGTGAAAACCGTAGTGACCGTTTAGTGCTTGTCACTCTCGAACCTCATCGCATTCTCTGTGTGGAAGTCTTCAACTACATATTTATGCCTTTTCTACTTTCTTTTAACCTTTTTGTTTATGTTTTGCTTTATAAACGGAAATTTACGCCCATGACTACAGCTAACATCTTGTTGAAGTGCAACAACTTATCGATGACATAGTTGCGTTCTCGTAAGACGCTGGAACAACCTGTTGTGGTTGTCTCAAATCTTTTCAATTCGACGAACCGCCAAGAATCTCTCACTGTGAGGATATTGAGATAAAGGATATTGGTCTATTAAGTTCCTCTATTATTATTCTTAAAATATTTATATCTTGCGCCATATTTTTGCTTGCCAACACCCCAGCTTTGTTGACCTTACACCGCGCTTCGACTATCTATCTTTAGGGTCAGCACCATGAGCCAAAACACAAGTTGTCTTCGCGACCGTGCTACTATCACCTTCTCAAATGAGCTTTATCGTTATTGCGCATTCATAAGCCTAATGCGCCATGTGTTTAAGCTTCAATGTATTGAAAAATAGTAAAATAATTACTCGGACCCGGATTGAAATTGCTTTTCTAACAGCCTTACGTTAATATCGACTGTAATATATGTTCCTCATGCTTACCTACTTCTTTCTTCGTCAACTCATCCGTTTTCTCAAGGGAAACACTCGAGGGTCGAAGTGCGCTCGTTGTGGCAGCGCTCGTTACAACGGTAGTCGTGCCAGTCGTCGTCGCAGCAAGAGGGGTAGTAGCACCGGTGGCGGCAGCTTGAGTCGTTGTCGATCCGGAAGTACCTGATGGTATCGGTGCCATAGCAGCGGAAAGCGGTGTAGTTCTGGCTAATGGAACCATATTTGCATCAAGCGGTGGATATCCAGATCCATACACGTATTCTTAAACATCACAAAATGCTTTTTTTAATTATGGAAAACTTTACAGGCGTGATAACCTTTTCGTTTCGTCGTGGTGCTGGAAGATGGCACTGGGGTGAATCTAGTGATAGAAGTTGTTCTGGGCTGAAAAAAGACCTTATGTCTGAGCATATCTTAAGCTATTTAAAGTTTGTTCATTTCTATCCAAAGCGTTTTTGACGAATTTTTTCCTGTTATTTTCTATTGTATGACTGCTTTTTTCCTTTCTATTTCCTTATCTTTGCGAAAGATAAACAATTACCCCCTGGTCCAGTGCTTTCAATCTCTGACCCGCTGCTGTATCTGAACGAAGTGCCCCCTGATTTCTGGCTTTCAGTGGTTGAGCCGCTGTTACATCTGAATGAAGAACGTTTGTTTTTTGATGGGTAGGAGTTGATAGCACTCTACAAATTAAGCTCATTCCTTTATAAAACTTTAGTCACAATAAAACCAGTACAACAGGGAACGAGTTGCGATGTCCTACCAATGCATCAAGTCAGTGTTGTTTATATCGCAGCTAAATCTGCTACCAATTTACCGATGCCAGTGATAGTGGAGCTCAGCCTCGGTGCCTGATCCTTATCAGACCTCCCAGAAATACTGTATCTAATTGTGTTCGAAGATGTGATAATACACAGATCCCATTCGTGTGAAGGATCCTAAGGCCGGTTACTCACAAAGCTATGTGACCTCATCCCTCGGAAGATAGGGAAGGTTGAATGCAGACCGAATACAACCATATACTTAGCCTACAGTAAGGGTGAATTTCAAAGATGAAATCCTTCTCTCTTGTATGACGGAGCGACTTATGTTTTTCGGATTTGCATAGTGCATAGATGGATGGATACTGCTTGCAAACGAGCTTTATCATAAGCGGCGCTAAGGTTTTCGACAACTGATTGTCGGCTCCAGTTCGTTAATGAGAATAGTTAACTGCCCTTCTATAAACAATGAAATCAAAATCGAAATACATACTAGTTGGCGTCTGTGCCTTCTGACGATCTGGGCTGATAGCATTTGCTTCAGAAGCACGTGAAGTTCTGCCTCGATTTCTCACCAGTACAACATTTCCAAGGTTCTAAAATGCAAAACTATATAGAATAACCATAAACCTACTTTGGAAACTCTACGACCACTCAAAAAAAGTTGAATAGGGTGTGCTCTAATACAAATAGCGTCGCACATCTTTGCGAGATAAAACAAACTCATATCGAACCTCTGCATTTATGAGTTCACTTACTTGACACTTGAATGACCCGTTCTCACTGGTTATGCGGACCCCAGAATAATCTCCATTTTCCCGAGATTTGCTGGTTAAGCCATTGTGGTTCTCTGGAGTCCCGAAGCAACCTGGCTAAAGTCTGCCCCAGGTCGTCACCACCACAGGGAGCCGCAGCCCTTGTGGATCAGAGGGAGATTTGCCACCACGCGACTAGTTTGACACCAAGACGATGGCGGGTCCTGGTCTTGGTTTACTTTCAGCTAGGTTTCCTGACCGAAACGCCGGACTCCTTAGCTTGGGAGATCCTGTCTGATGAATCCCTTGCTGTACATCGCAGCCCGACACCCAGGAACACCTCGCAGCCACAATGAGGAGATAGGCCGTTGGGAGGTACGAGTTCACTAGTTAAAGCTATTTGATAAACAGCGATAAGAAATTGTTTAATAACGTTCTAGATTCCATATAATTTGGTGGCCAACACGGTACAAACTATGAGCATGTTTTTGGTCTTCAGTATTAGAGGCGCAGTGGCTAGCGATGTAGTCCATCATGAACCAAAGTTCTGGTGTGACATGCTGTTCAGCGCCTCACCCCCAATCCACGTGGGAATGCGTCGCTCGGTTAGATTGCAAGAAGAATCGATCTGACCAGCATTCTACGAAATTCTTGAAGAAGGCGAAATCCTCAAGCAGCAACCAAAAATAACTCGCGAAATGTTCAAAGTCTTTTGATGACAATGAAGACGTATAGAGCACAAGAAGTGCCCAGCTCAAGCAAAATAAATAAGGTAAAGTATTGGAAGTTACTGGGGCCTATTCATTCAACGAAAATCATTCGCTCATAGTCGATCCAAGCAACTGCATTGTACATTTTTCTTCGTTGAACAGCCTCGTCGTGCACTGGTTCTAACCTCTTAGATTTGTGATCTCCATAAATCGACAACATAGGATAGTATGATTGTTAAGAGATTTTCAAAAGCCACTGATTTCATCTACTGGGATCCCTAATTAAGTGTAAGCTGCTGTCAGAAACCATCAGGAGATAGTTGGAACATAGTCACCAAACTGGGGCGTCAACCCAAACTACAAATGTTGCCGGGGCTTGCTGCAGTAACTTAGGAATCCCTTAAAATTGGAATATGAGTCTAAAAAACAAATCATTGTTGCACCTGCACTATTTGTTTTCACATAACAAAGCAGAAATGTTAAATAAGTTCGATGCCGACAATGATCCTACTGACCAAACACGTACACGTGTCTTATAAACCTGCTGTAATTATCATCTGTGCTTTGCCCTGATCCTCCTCGACTTTTCAGCATGAGCTTCTAACCCGTCGAACAATAGTTGCACACGTTCTGTATAGCAACTTTAGGCGACGGAAATCGAAATCGAATGTCGACTACTAAGTTCCCTCAGAGTTTCCTTCCAAAATAAAAAAGATCGCACTTTGCGACACTATATTGCCATAAACGATAAAGGATAAAGCTTTCGGCGTTGATCAATACTTGAGGGATGCGCGGTGTATTCGACTTCATTGAGTATCGTTTGGAGGTGATTCAATGCATAGCTGGCCTTCACGATGACTCTCGGTGGTCCACCGATGTATCGAGCCAGTGCTGCAGTGCTGCTATCGTCCTAGACAAGTCTGGTACCAATTTGCCGACGCCGGAGGGATGGAAGGCTTGGTGAGCCATGGGTGCTGGGATCGATTCCATGTGTGTGTTGCAGAGCTCCTCCAATCACTTCGCCAGACGCGCGATCACTGATGCTGTCCAATAAATAACGACGTCACTCAGTGAAGATGTCAAGATCTTTTAATCCTATTTGGATAAAGATCTATTCAGCTTTCATTTCGTCTCGAGTTCGTCGTCATTTCAAGAAGTGATGCATAGACGGTCTCTTAGGAATTTTAAAAACACCAGGGATATGAGTCTTCAGATCGAACCAGAATCGAAATTTGGTTCAAAGTTCTTAGTTAACACAAGCACGACGTTATATTGAAAAAATGAAGCCTGGATGTCTTTCCCTTTCTGCCAATGTCACTAAAGGACGAGGACGACCATGGTGCCACCACTGTAAAAGCAGACGAAGTGACTCCAATTTTCCGCCCTCAGACAAAAACAGTGCTAGCGATCAAGAGTGTGACGAATTGCAGTGCAGTGGTAGGAGTAGATGCTTGGTATCCTAAACAAAATCCTATGCTGCCAAAACATAGCATATTCGAAAAACCTTCAAATCTCAAATACATAAACAGATAATCATGCGAGCATTACTCTTCGCCGCTGGGAATGCGTGGCTTGGCGTCATTCCTAGAGATTACAGTCGAAAGGATGCATGCGCTAAACCAACACCATTGCAGTGAATCTCCTTATAAGGACATCACAGTGAAGTTGACTAAGATGAAAATGATACTTGTATAAGTGGAATATCGTTAGAGAACTTTCATTTTGCAGCCACCTGTTTATGGTTGTTCGGAAACCACGGGTGAAATCACTAAAGAGTAGAACTACACGTGAAAATATTCACCCACGAATCTAGGGAATTTGATGGCATCCGTTCGTTACTTACTTACTATTGAGTTTAAGACAATACAGAAAACACAGAAAACATAGGGTATTGTGGACCGGAAGACTAAGAGGTGACTTCAACGAATCTCTGAGTTTTAAACTTGTTAACCTCATTCATCGCCGCATTGGTCATGTCTGGATCTTTTTTCATTGAAGGAGGTCGGTGTACATCATGTTTCTTGTGTTTGCTGGTACGGTCCTTCTGAAATTAAAGGCTAAGCGGCGGCAGTAATCAATGGCTTAATCAATCTCAGCGATTTTTCGAAGCCAAATCTAATTTGGATTGTATAAACACGTTCAAGTGGTTAAGTAAATGTGTACTGAATTGCTCGGGAATTTCCCAGACAAAACCTGATTGGCAAAAATGATTGTCTATCTAGAGGGACTAGTAAAGGCCCTTGACCTTTCCATGGCACTACGGTGTTGTACGAGACTGTGATCCACAAATTTCAAAGAAACCAACGTTTTAAACACGAAAACTGCTTCTCGCCGATAAAGTAGAAGTTAGGATAGATTTATTCATATAATATTATAAACTGATCTTCTTTAGCTGATGCGAAGTTGGTATAGGTCTTCGTTGTTGTTGTTGTTGATGTTGTTAGTCGAGCGCTGGCGTTCTGGCGATTTCGCTTTCCTCAGAGCCTGGACGTACTTTGTACAAGAATACTTTAATTATTCGGTGGAAGAGAAAAAGCCCGAAATATTAATGAAGATCAAACTTTAAATAGAAGCCATATTGAACAGAAAGGCTACGCACCGTGATGTTACACATAAGCTTACTTCAAATGATTATATTATGTCAACGAACCCACCACCGTTTAAAGTTAGACCTATCATTAGTTGTATAGATGTGGCAACAGATAGAATAACGTGGTTCCCAAACCCAGCTGCTAAAATTCATTCCAACCCATCTACCTAACACCAAAATATTTCTAGACCACCTACGGTGGCCGCAACCAAACAGCACGCATGTAATGGAGTCATTCGATGTTACTTCACTTTATACCAACGTGTCGAATGATTCCACAATACAAGCTATTCTCGGGTTGCTCGCAGAGCATGAAAAGAAAATAAAAATTTACGGCTTGTCGATTGCGCAACTAATGACTCTCTTAAAACAGTGTCTTAGTGGTTCAGTCTTTAGGTGGTCTGTAAAGTATTTTGCACAAATTAGAGGGTTGGCTATGGGACAGCGTTTAGCACCAAGCCTTGCCATCGCTTTCACGTCTAAGGTGGAAGCTCCAGTTCTCGATCACCGACCCTTTCTCTACTGTCGACACATAGACGACTGCATCATTGTCTGTTTCACACAAGAGCAGATGGATGAGTGCTTTGAATTATTAAACCGACAGTCAGAGTATATAAAATTTACACGAGAAAAACCAACCGAGAACTGGCTTCCATTCTTAAACGTCCAAATAAAGCTTTCAGAAAGTTTCTATATAACCAAATGGTATCGTAAGCCAAGCAGGAAAATATACTAGTTACCTCTCCTCTCATCCTTTACATGTGAAAAAAGAAAACTGTACGATCTATTCTAACGGGAGAGACGGGGATTGCATGAGCTCAGGTACAATGTATCTGATCACGTGTAAAACATGCGATGAGGAATACATTGTGGAAACGGGTAGACCACTTGATGTCCGCATAAAAAAACACCTAGATGCGAAAGTCCAAATTCCTCGAAACACTCTTCTAGGTACACATAGGGCACAAAAGCACAACGGCGATGATTTTGAAGTGACTGTGCGGATCCCAGCGCAGAAATCGAAAACAACGCGCAAAACTCTTGAGGCGTTCTGGATAGATTTCAGAAATCCAAAGATGAACCGGAAAGATGAATGCCTCACTATCACACGTGACCTGGCGCTCTATTTCAAAATGATATTTTGACCCCATGGTGCGTCTTGCTCGCGACCCCACGTGAACAACGCGTGAGCCAGTCCCACTCATAACATCACGGTGCCTTTCTGTTCAATATGGCATCTTTAAAAGTCCGATATTCGTTAATAGTTTAGCCTTTTTCCACCGAATAATTAACATATTCTAATATAAAATACGTCCAGGCTCTGAGGAAGGCGAAATCGCCGAAACAGCCATCGATCAACAACACCAACAACAAAGACAACGACAACGAAGACCTATGCCAACTTCGCATCAGCTAAGGAAGATTAGTTTATAAGGTCGTATAAGTAAATCTATCAACTATCTATGCCGAGGCTTATAGAAAGTCGGTCCTTTGAGTTACTAGAATAAGGAATTAGCCAAAAGAGTTGCCATCTCTGATTACCTTCCTTCTATCATCGTGCCTTGATCTTCGCTTGCAATCCTTCTTATGCGAACGCGGAGATTTTCTCGACCTCGACTTTCTTTGCTTTCTGCTTTTTTCACTCTTCCTCTCTTTTCTGCGCTTTGATGACTTCCTACGGTGTTTCTTAGGCATCACAAGGATCTACTGCAAATAGAGGCCTTCCCAATTGATCATACAATAACTCTCTCAATTCCTAGAATACTAATGGCCATCCACACGAAGCAACCACGTAACCAAAATGAGCCGGATAAACTGTTGGTGGCAAAACTTCACGTAGTTGAGACACATTACTACTTTACCGTACCCTACAAACCATGATATTCTTAAGCAACTTACTCAACTGACACGGCTCGTAAAATGACTTAGCTGCTTTGAACCTTTATATCCTCTTATATCAGTAAAAGACCATCTGAAAAACATTCTTATCAAACCTCGACCACATTCCTTAAATAAAGCATCAACTGCGGCAAAACTATTTCATTACATCATATCATTCCAAAATGTTTCGCATGTTTTTCTTACTGTTTTATAAGAAAAAAATCGTCCTCCTACTCTTATAGGCGCTTGTAGTGCAGTGGTCGGAGGCGCCCTGCAACACACACGCGAAATTGGCCCCGGCTCCCATGGTCCACCAAACCTTCCATATCTCCGGGGTGGAGAAATTGCTACCAGACTTGTCTGGGAGGATGGCAGCACTGGGTCGATACATCGGAAGACCACCGGAGAGCTTTATCCTTTATCCTCACATTCTTATGTCAAGTTGAGCTGAGGCCATGATGTCAATTAGAACTCCCTTCACCATTCTACACATACCGTTAAAACTCTTTATACAACACGTTCAAACGAATTACTCGTCATTTGAATCTGACGAAATAGTCCTCACTGGAAGTAACCACAGCACTTGTAGTATATGAGTGTGAACAATAACAAAGTAGTACTGAATAAACTACTGTTAAAGCCTTCGATATTTTACAGTGTTCTACTGCGAAGCAGATCACTGTCCACCTTGTAATCCATCGTCAATATCTTCTTCGGCAGCTAAAAAAGAAATGTTACCAGTACCTAACATAATAAAATGTCAACAGTATTTTCAAATACTTATCCATGACTTTGTATTTAAATTATATCTACATTTAAAGCACAATAGGGCGTGTGTGGCGCAGTGGTCGGGGACGCCCTGCAACACACGTGGAATCGATCCCCGCGCCCATGGCCCACCAAGCCTCTCTCTCATCTCTCCGGGGTCGGCAAGCTGGTACCAAACTTGTTTGGGAGGATAGCATCACTGGCTCGATACATCGGTAGGCACCGCGAGTCATTGTAAAGGCCAGATTTGAATTCATTCACTTTCAACGATGCTTAATGAAGTCGAATGCATGGTGCACCTCTCGGGAATTGATCAACGCCAAGAGCTTTATCCTTGATCCCTTTATTTAATACACAAATTTCGCCATACATTTCCATGTAAACAATCTCCTTTCCCATCAATTTCTACCTAATTAAGGAAACTGAAGGTAAAAATGGAAAAAAGCAAGACCATATTAAATCTAAAGAAGACAAAATCGAATTAGTTTTCGCAAGAAAACAATCTTGGATGTAAAACCACAGAACCTGCTCACGACATTCGTGAAGAAGCTAGTTTTTAAACTACAGACGATAATTTCTTAATTAAAAAGCAGTGGAAGAATTGAAAAATTGGCAGCCGCAAAAAGTGGCTGTATATCAGATACCGTTGTTGTGCCATGCCGGACGGAATTCTGCTATTGTAACTTCGTTCATGTTTGGAACATCTGTCAAGATAGACTCAAGCACTAACCCTACTTCTTCCTTTTCTTATTTACTACCTATTCTTTTTAACGGTAGGGTAGCTTCCGAACTGTAACTTTCATAAAGCTGAGATATTTGCAAAACTCCGGAGCGCAGATGTCTACTACACTTATTTCTTCCATTCTAATCCTCTCAATGTGACGTCCTTCAGACGTTCTTCTGAGTCCAGTCTTAGCCTTCAAACCTTCAGTGATCACCTTGAATAATGTACGGTCTTTGCAGAACTTCCCATCCCCTGGAACCATTTGTGGCTCTGTGAAGCATAAGGTTGCTTTTGGTCCACGACCAACCCTACCTGCCACCTATGGACGGGCCACGTTGCCTCGCGATTAACCGGCAAAAGATCCCTCTGTGAGAGAGATCCATGTTACATGGGCTTCAGAAAATCAGGACTTCATTATGGTGGAACAAGAGAACTTGTACTTTGTAGTCAAAGCTCTGTAGATCCTGAAAGCCTTTACTACATTTTACCTACAGCGCTCACGTTATCGCGTAACTGTAAATCTTTCATTTCTTTAGCAAGCGTTCACAATCACACGGAATAACGTTGATATGAAGTTCCGTGTGAATATGAGGAAGTGAAAATACAAAAGCATTACGACGAATTGTTACCATCCACAACAATTTTTGAAAAGCTAACCAAAACAGATTCGTGTAGAAAGGCTCTAAAAGTTGAAGTTTAGGGGCAAGTGAGATAAAGTTTCAGAACACCTCTAACTGACTGGAAAGGCAAAAAAAAAAGATTGACAAATGAATGGTATGTCGATGTGTAAATAAAATCCCTTGCGATAGTAACCATCCACAACATTCTGCCCAACTGTTTCATAAAGCACCGAAAGCAAAGCAGGCATCAGAGGCAGATTAGGAAGTCTTCCTTTTGCTTAGAAGGTGGAATCATCCACTACAACTTCTCGAATAGTTATCGGACATATGGTCAAGTTTTCAAACGTTTATGAACCACTTTCATGGGAAACTCGGCAATTAAGCTCTGCTGGAAATACATTCACAAGATTCATAAGCATCACAAATCTTGAAGTTTACCCGACTGATAACAAAATCATATTCCGTTGAGAAGTGAAAATTTCAGTTTTTATTCAGCTTAATAAAGTCCTCTATGAATTTAGGTATGAAGATTTGAATTTAATTGGAAAACAAGTTGTTTTCTAATAGCCTGACATAGTGTTCTATCGCTTAGCAGTTCGTATAAAGGTAAAGAAGAATGAGAACTCTTTGAATAAAATGGTAAAGTAGCTTCCAGTCCAACATTAACAGATTTGACCCAGAGCCGTTTTTTATGTTTGAGTTATCTATTAGGTTATCTTATAAACTAACATATTTTGTAGGCTTATTTAGGTTGTAGCTTAACTTAAACAAATTCGAAGCCTACCGAACACAAGCGACTTACCGTCATAATTGCCGCCTTTCACAACCGGCTTCTCATCCTTGCTGCGTTCATCAGCAGCAACAGCAAGCTTTACACGATCTCCAGGCTTTTGAGGTGGAACGTCTGGTCCATCTAATAAGAAATTCCTAGTAAGAAGACAAAAAACGATACAGACACCAACTCATTATTTGTATCGAGTGGACAGACTCTGTGCAAAAAACCGCACAAAGGCCACAATTGGCACAGATACTTTTTATACATAAAAGTGGCTAACTAGCTTAGAGGACTTACGTTCATCTCCTATAATCTCTCTAGTTCCAGTTTTCTGCTTGACTGTCTCTACATCACCTGAAACTATCTGTATTGAGATTATGAAAAAGACAGAACACATTCCAACACACTTTCTAAGATCATTGGAGCAGGAGCCTGATCAATCTGCTTGTCGTCAACAATTCTCCGTTGTTCTCGAGTTACCTAGAAACTCCCATATCATTCACTCCGTTCAAAGTATGCAAACAGCAAACAAGTTGATTAAGATTTTTAAAAGCCTATTACAATGAAAATAAATTACTGTGAGGAACTCGTTTACATTTAAAGCCCAAAACTACTGAAGAAAATAACCAAGCAAACAGTAGTAGTAGACAGCAAACATACTTCAACAGTTCTCTTAGTAACACTGGTAGTGTCTACTTGGATGGAACCAAATTTAGTTGTTCCACTTTGGTCAACAACAAAAGTACTGCCTTTGTCAGTAGAAGTGAACTTCGTCCGGTTAAGTTCAGCTTCCAACCTATATTTCCATTAGTATTTCCTGTGTTGGTTAAGTAGAAAGGAAAACTGAAAGCTTAAACGGTGAAACTATCTAACATCAATGTACTTTTCTATGAAGGTTCTATGCAAAACAGTTTTGTAACGGCATTTGTACAGTATAAAGAAATACTTACTTCCGGATTGTTCCCTTCAACTGATCGACAACGGCATCCTGGTCTGATATGGCCTTCTTCAAACTCTCACCATTTTTAGTGAGTTCTTCCTGTTAGTAAAAGAAACCATTTGAATCATCTAATTAGAAAAATAGTTCTAATGTTGAGTTAAGATCTCAGGTTTGAAAAAGACTCACAATTTTCTGCTGAAGACCTTCATTAATCACATCTTTGTTCCTAGAAATCATAAGAAAAGTTCAGAATCCACACGTAAATCCACTAAAGCATACTCAAATGAGTACATCCTACCTGGACTGCTTCTCTAACATAATATTTTCAGATTGAAGAGTTTCGATATTCAGCTTACATGATCGCAGCGCACTTGAACAAGCTGAAAAAGGAAAGGGAAGTCCGTAGTGAGTATCGATTCAGGCTAAACACAACCCAACATACTTCCAAAATCTCTGGAGAGTTTATCTTTTTCATTCTTCAATTCACTCTGCACAGCCTGAAGCCGCTCATTCTCTGCTTTCGCACCTATACAGAAACAATTAACATTAACAAATCTATCGAAATTCTATTAAATCGAAGAAAACTAACATGTAATAAGGAACTGTATCATAATAACTACATAGGAAGCAAAAGAAACTCTACCTATCTATAAATGGATACCATTTGTTGTTATTTAAAGCAGGTTACCTTCACGTAGTACCATAATTTTTAACCTTTTTAGAATTCCTGTGCAGATTCTATGGTCCCACCTCACCCCTTATTTTTTACCACAATTTTTGATATTCCACAGTGCTTCAGTGCTTTTTGATATTCCACAGTACAGTGACACAAGCTCTCTTCAGAATTCATTAAAACTTAAAGTTATCAAATCGTTTCGAATCAGTGAAACTGATAATTGGCTAGCACACTTCTGTATTTAACAAGTGTGATGCATCATCTTTTTGCTGCTCATAGTTTAGATATACAAATGGCTCTTCTGTTAAATTTATCGCTCAGACGTGTTTGGTGAATGCGTGAAAAACTTCAGTACTGCGGACGTGCAATCTTGATGAATGACCTCGAAGGGTACTCATACTCGAATTACCTTCAAAATTCTACTGTTTCTGCGCTGTCGACCAATCGCGTCGTAGAAATGACTGGTACTAGGGACCAAAAATATTGAATGGTTGAACGAATGAAAAGAAAATTGAGAAGAATGATAAAACGAGAAACACTTTCAAAAGAACGTAGGAACTTCGATGACTTACTGACAAAATCCACTTTCAAGTCTTGGACTTTCCGTAGTTGATTCTCCAATTCGGATCTGATGATTGCGTATTCAGTACTTTGTGCTTGATAAACGTATAAGAAATAAAAAAAGAACACTAGACCGCCCAAGAACACAAACAATGGCCAGTTACGCATGCCTCGAACCTCTGAGCCGACGCTGAAATACACGTGAATTTGGTCACTGTGGAGAAGTACTCAATTCTAAATCAATATAGCCCTTGAATATGAAAGTACTTTTACAATAATGGGAAAATGTAAATTAATAAACAAAATCCCGTTGACGGGTGATTTCTAATGACACTGGTAGATTGAAAACTAGCTGAGACACATGCGAAACGAACGACCCGCATAATGTGGTAGTGAACGCATTAACCCTCGGAAAGGGTAACAGCGCGTTCATACCCCACAGCATACGGCTACGGTCCGGAGTTTTGCAAATATCTCAGCAACATTGTGCTTGTACTTCACATAATACCATGCCATGAAAAATTGTAGTAGTCATCAAATAAAGGGTTAATATGAATGAATACACTTTCACATCCCCGATATTTTGTATTTCAAAAGCTACTTTAAAAATTAAGTCACCCAAGGGCTGAAATTAACACGTGTACCGCACTTAGTTCCGCAAGATATTTAACTAAGTAAGCACATTGCCACAACATCTAATTCTCAGTGAGCACTGCTAAGATGACGTACAATTTCTTGCCACGCGCAGGATATATCGAATTAAACCCATATGGGTTAAAGTGCCTTTATCCTAAGATACCATGGTACCTTCCATATTACACCACCTGTACATTAATTAAGAAATCCCTTATGGAGACAAACAAATCCGTCTCAGGAAATGCTTGTTCCAATGTAAACTACTAACTGTAGGCAACAACTACTTTCAACGATGAGTAGCAGAGTATCTGTGGTAAGATGGCCATCGATTTAGTAGAGGACGTATCGCACAGAAAATGAACAGCAGGTGAAAGGAAACAACGGGAAAGAAAACGCACTGAGATCAATGCATACCGTCCAACACGCGCATTTATGCACTGAGGCCAATACATATCCTTCGTAATGTTCCGATGATAGCATAATTTATCTTATAAACAAAACGCTTCACGAGCATTATTTCAAAACCTTCGCCAACAAAAAGAAAACTCCCTCGTGTATAAAACAAAAAACGGTACGGGAAGTCGTAAATTCATATGGAAACGAGCAAAGACTTGGTTGTTAAACACTGTCCAATACAAGGCACCCGGTCGTAAAAAAGAGCCCCGCAAGAGATTCCAGCCAGAGCAAATTTAACTCCTTCCTTATAAATTCCTTTCCTAAGAAATTAATATAACTCTCGATCAACGCAATGCTACATTCCTTATATTCATAAGAGTTGATTTTTAATAAGTAATTCTACAGCAATTGTCAAATGGGAAAACGATGATCAAAAGTGACAACTAGGGCACGGTTTCCAAAACAACAACGGAGGCTTGTCACAGATGAGGAGAGCCCTATGTCGAATTTGTACTTAATTCATATCCTACTCTGGATTTGTGAAGAGAAAAACCTGAAAAATAAGAAAGAAATCTACACTACTCACCTCAGAAGAGATTTTCTGTCTGAGCTCATCTGTGAAACACTTCCTTAGCTCCTGTACACCTATAAGTACACAAAACAGTACGTTTCATAGTTTCCCTACTAACGAGAAATCTAACAAAACGAAGAGGTGCTGAAAAGCATCAACTGTACCATGTATACTATCTATAATCCCACTTACTTACCTGGATACTTGAATGCTCCGTTCTCAATGGTTGTGCGAGCCCCAGCAAAATTTCCATTGTTTCGGAGTTTTGCTGGTTTACCAAGTCTGTTTCCCTGCAGTCCCGGGGTCAGCCAGGCCAAAGGCTGCCCCAGGTCGTCAGCAACACAGGCAGTCGCCCCCCTTGTGGATTAGAGAGAGATTTGACAGCATACGACTAGTTTGATACCAGGACGGTGGTGGACCCTTATTTCTCAGCCCTGGGAGACCTGCTGGGAAGATGAATGCCCCGTCGTACATCGAAACCCGAAACCCAGGAACACCCCTCAGCCACGAAGAGGAGCCATTGAAAGGATAAACCCATTTACAATCAAGAATCCTGAATTGGATGCTTGTAAAGCACAAGAGGTAAATTTACCACCAGAGTTCCATCCTTTGAACAAAAATAGCAACAGGTTGTGGGATATCACCTGTATCACCCGTAGTCCCGTTGATCGTCGAGTGAATCAAGCGCGCGCCAGTAAATCTTCCATTCTTCCCTGTCGCGTGCAAGAGTAGCCCAGGGGGTTCTGCTCGCTCTAGGGACTCGTCGAGCATCATATCTTTCTTCAAGGCTCATTGTGAAAAACTCTCACCATCGGTCGATGGTCATCCTGAAGTACGTTTGACATTCCGAGAAATCCAGTCACTAACGGCTCCTATCCATCGGTTGTTGTTCACACGCATTACGTGTCCGGCCCTCCTTATCTTCGACTGTTTGGCGTACAGAACGGCATCTTTGACTTTTGATCGTTGACGCAGATCGGAGCCTCGGATCCCATCCTTTACTTGTACGGAATGGCATACTCCTAATATCGCCATCTCGACTGCGCGTTCGATGTCGGTGAATGATCTTCCATTCTGCTTACTCAGCGATCAGGTTTCTGACGCATATGTTAGGGCAGGAAGTATCGTTGAGTCGAAAAGGTGGGCACGGAGTCGGGTGTTCTTTGTTCTCTTCACTACATCCTCGATGCTCATGAAAGCTCCCCAAGCCTCTCATTTCCTTCTATTCAGCTCTGGAGCTAAGTCGTTCATCATATTGATTTCCCGACATAGACAGACATATCCGGACCACTTGGAGACTTCGCTCCAGTGAGCGTGAATGGGGCATACGAAACCAAATCGTTCTTCATGAACATCCCTTTTGTGAGATTCAGTCAAGATCAATCTTTTCACAAACTTTATCAAAGTCGACCAGCATTCGTTTCGCTTGGGTGATGTTTGGTGTTATAAGGACGATCTCATCAGCAAAGCCTGGTGTAATTGCCAACCATCGATTCCCACTCCCATATTACCCCATTCCAGTGTTCACATGACGATTTCGAAGGTGCCGGTAAATAACTTTGGCGAGATGGTGTCGCCTTGCCTAACTCCTCATTTCACGTCGATGTTAATATCGTTGTAGAATGGTGACATCTTGGTTGTGAAACTTTTGCACAGCTCACGAAGAATCTCTATGTACTGGTTGCCTCATATGTACTCATATGGCTGCCTTTCGTCCAGTTTTCTATCAACTCTGCTTAGGATGACTCGATTGAAAAGTTTGTTGACGACAGACAGCAAGGAGATTGAGCGATAGTTGCCGATAACGTGGAAGTCACCCTTCGTGGGCCTTAGCACGGTCTTGCTGCTCTTCCAATGAGTAGGGACCGTGGATTCAGACAGATAACGTGTGAAGAGCCGAGCCAGTGTGTTTACGAGAACTGGCAGATGGTTCTTTAGGTGTTCAGATCCTATCCTGTCCAGGCCTGGCGCTTTTCCACCGACGAAATGGCATTCCGGATTTCGGAAAGGAGAACCGTTGGTACAACATATCCATCCTTCTTCATTTCTTACGACGGAAGGTGGACGTGACTATCGAAGAGATATGAGTGATATTCGTGAACGATTTTCTCCATTGCCTTTATGGACGCTGTAACTGTTCCGCCTGGGAGTTGGAGCGCAACCATCTTGGCCTTGTAATTGGTGATGCATCGGTGGGCTTTGCGAATGCTTTTCCCAGCCTCTGCAGCTTCGACCATTACTGCTGCTCTTCTCTCTCTAAGATCTTCTTTTATCGCCTGTCTGCATTGTTTTGCAAGTTCGGATGTTAGTTCGTGGTTGTCTCCAGCTTGTCCGATTCCACGCTGGCGTATCAGTTCGAGTGTTTCTGGAGACAGACGTCTCTTGGTAACTTTCCAACTCTCAGCTTTCATAACGCTAACGTAAAGATGTTGAATGAGCCGATCGTATTCTTCGTCGATGTTATCAACAACTGCATCTTCCCAACGGCCGACTAATGAACTGAATAAGTCCTAGTGTGTGGTGGTTCTGGGACTTCGGTTTTTGAATTTAGCGACTTTTTCTCCTTTCCGCGAGAAATAGGATCTTGCACGAAGGAGACGATGGTCTGATCCCGTGCAGAATTTTGGGACAACAGCGACATCGGTTAGGCAAAAACTTCGATTTACTATGATGTCGTCTATTTTGTTGTAGTACTCTCCACTGGAATATTCCCATGTCCAGTGTTGAGGGCGGGCCTCTGGAATTGCGAGTTACCATGGATGGTCTTGGTCGTCATGATAAACTCGGAAAGGCGCTCACGCTGCTCTTTCCATTCTAATCCGTGGATCCCAATGTGACGTTCTTCTTGGTTCAGTTTTGGCGCAAAAATCTCCAATGATGACCTTGAAAAATGTATGGTCTTCTCTGTAGAACTTCTCCAAGTTCATATAGAACGCTTCGACTTCTTCGTCATAGTTTGATGTCGGCACGTAAACGACGAAGATTGTCAAAGCCGGAACTGATCCACGTCTTTTTAACCGTAAACGCCCGATTCGGGTTGTAAGTTGTTCGAATGAATCGATGTTCATGTACGAACTCGCGCTGACGAAAACGCCGACACCGCCGACTCCTCTACTGTCGCATGTTCCGAGGAACTGTTCTTCTCCGGTGTCATAGACGGCGTTGAAAGGCTGGCGTCTCCTCGTCTCGGCCAGGCCGATGACGTCGTGCCTTATCCTTCTTTCTTGCACGAGCAAGTCTTCTGTCGAGGACTCGGATGCAAGTGTACGTGCATTGTAGGTACAGATCGTCACCATATTTCTTTGAAATCCAGGCGGCTTCCATTGGCCCTGAGATTTTAGCAGTCTCTCCGTACTCTTCCTACCCAGCGCTGCGAAATTGGGGGCTCTTTCGGGGTCAGGGGAATAAAGCCCGTATTATTTTTACTGTGTTTAGCATTTTCATACCCACGTATAGCTTGCTGTCCTCTGAACGTGAGGGCTCGGTATACTCACGGGTAGCTTGCCAGGCTCTCCCAGAGTGGACATGGAGCTTATTTGTTGGAAGCGACTCCTAACCGCCTCCCATATACTTTCCAGTCACTTGACTGCAGGCTTTTGGCCGAATTGACTCGTAGAATACAATCCGCACAAGCAAGAACGCACCCACACACGCATGCATGAATACGCCTAGCAAATACAAAAAGCATGTGCCAAATCAGCGCAGCAGAAACGGAGTCCATCCCCTGGATCCACCTGCGTCTCAAGGAAGCAAAGGTCGCTTTTGGACCGCGATTAACCCCCTATCCGCCACCTGGAGACGCGCCACGTAGCCTCACGACTAACCGACTCGAGATCCCTCACATGAGGGAGATATCGCATGAAATGGTACCAACTACGTAGTCACATGTGGCTCGGCCAGACGTTCATAGATAAGCATTCAGACTCCCACAGAATAGATTCGATCACTTTGAAGGTCATTTCAAGTTCAATTTCCAAATCCCTTGATTCCAGTTTTTTGGCGGAACCGACCGTTTACATTATAATCCACGTATACACAAGCAGACACTCACATGCAAGTATGGGTAGGTACAAAACACTGTAAAAAAAAAAGCAAAACGGTAAACACGAGAACCTCACCTAACGAGCCCAGCTGTTTCTGAGAAAGTCTACTATCTCTCTTTGTTCACGAAATCGCTTTCTGCAACGACTTCGTCAATTCTCGTTTGAGATGAACTGTTAACAGCATAAATAAATATATCTCAACAGAAACACAAATATTTCAAATGACATTTGGCACAATGTAGTTATAACGTCATAAAAATCATCACTACGTCATAAGTTCCAAGGAAATACTTCGAGCATTTCGTAAGACTTCCTAAGTAACTGAGGGCCGCTAACCAGTCAATGAACTCTTGGACATCTATAATAGAAATTCTATAGAACAAAACAAAATCACACAGTTCTTAGCTATAGAGAATTGAACGAAACGATCCAAAGAGCAAGAATGGAGCTGCGCGTCCCAAAAGAATCGATCGATTCGAATCCAGCAAAAAATTTTCTTGACGGTCATGCTGACATGAATCGCTCATTTCGGTTTCCATACACTGGCTCCTTGCTTTTTCTTTTTTTCCTTGTCTCCTTGAATTATCGATTGGGCAAACATAGAGACCAACAAAAGCCTCTTTATGTAAAGATTTTGTGTAAATTTAAAGTCATAAGAAAAACGTATTTACCACTACTACAAGAAAAAATGAAGAAGCGATGAAATCTTCTTATAAGGAGATGTACTCAATACAGAACCTCCCAACAACTGACCGTCTCATCGTGGCTGGGAGGTATTCCTGGGTCTCGGATTGCGATGTAGTACAGCGCGGGGGATTATCCCACCAGCAGGGTCTCCCAAGCTGAGGAGTCCGGCGTTTCCATCAGGAAGCCTAGCTAAGAGGAAACCAATACCAGGATCAACCACCGTCCTGGTATCAAAGTCTAATGGTGGTAAATCTCCCTCTGATTCACAAGGGCGGCGAGTGTCTGTGGTGGTGACGATCTGGGGCAAACTTTCG